GCTCCCCTTATTATAGTATTAACCCCCCCCTGCTCCCCTTATTATATTATTAACCCCCTGCACCCTGAAGCTTGGAAGATACTCCACCTCATTTATTCTTACATTGTACCCATTTATTCCTGCACTCTGCCATTGTTAATTTTCTGTGCATTTTTTTAATTTTTTTAATTATTGCCGTTTAATGTATTCAACCAATATTTCATGTACAGTTATTAATATTTTAGGTGATAGAATCTAGTTGGTAAATATTTTAATGGTTTACAACAAATGTTTACTATACAGTCCCCCTCCCCCCACACCAGTTATAAATTAATAAAAATAACACCCCAGAACCCCCTTATCATAGCATTAACCCCCTGCACCCCCATATCATACTATTATCTTCCAGGCATCCCTCATCATGTGTTCCCACTTTATCATGATATCCCTCCATGCACCCCTTATCATGATATTATCCCTCCATGCACCCCTTATCATGATATTATCCCTCCATGCACCCCTTATCATGATATTAACCCCCATGCTCCTCTTTATCATTGTATTATCCCCCCAGCACCCCATATCATGGTATTATCCCCCCAGCACCCAATATCATGGAATTATCCCCCTCCACGCTTATGTATCCCCATGTGCCCTTATCATGATAATGCCCAAATGCATCTGTCATGGTATTATCCCCCGCACCCCATATCACAGGTAGGTATCCCCCAGCACCCCATATCATGGTATTATCCCCCACACCCACCCCATATCATGGTGTGTCCCCACTTTTATATCATAGAGTAATTATCCCCCACACCCCATATCATGGTATTAACCGCTTTCCCCATATCATGGGTAACCCCACCCCATATCATGGTATTAACCCCATACCCCACATATCATGGTATTAACCCCCCCTCCACTTACATCCTTGGGTATTATTCCCCAGCACCCACATCATGGTATTATTCCCCAGCACACCATATCATGAGTATTATCCACTTACATCATGGTATTATCCCCTTTTATATATGTGGTATTATCCGCACCCATCATGGTATTATCCAGCACCCCATCCTTGGGTATTTATTCCCAGCACTCCATGCTGGTATTCCCCACTTACATCCTTCGGTATTATCCCCCGCTTTCCCACATCATGGTATTATCCCCCCCTTATATCATGGTATTATCCCCATACGGCCTTATCATGGTATCCACCCCATATCATGAGTGGTATTATCCCCCATACCCCATCATGGGATTATCCCCCCCAGCACCTCCTTATCATGATATTATCCCCCCTGCACCCCATATAATATTAACCTTTTGCCCTCTCTGGTTCATTATATAGGGTATCCTTGGTAATTGGGTATAAAGAAGGGCAGGTAGAGCCCTCCATCACTACCCCCTCTCCACAGTCCATTAACTTCTCCTTTGCATGTTTTGTCTGCTGTTGGCAGTGTGTCCGGAGAATGAACAGCTCCCTACACATGTGAAGGTGGAGGACGACAATCTACACAGCAAGGACCACTCTCAGCCGGTGAATAATGACATGCATAGACACCATGCAGATGGTGAATATCCAGGAACAATGCTGTTTGTGCATAGCATTGTGTGATACACCCAGATAGGCTAATCACGGAGGAACATGCTAATTTATGATGAAGAATAGAGACTTAAATTATTCGAGGGGGGGAGGGGGCTCAGTATCTCCCTATCTCCCTAAATCAACAGCCATTTATAATTAATACAAAGTGATTTATTTTTATCAGTATTTATATTACGGTATATAAAGAATTGCTTAAGTTACATTTAGATTCCCCTCTGAATTTACTCGCATACTGTGTAGCCAGGGAATTCACTCCTTTTTTTTTTTTTTTTTTTTTGTGTAAGAACTCTTTCTGATAGTTTATGTAAAATCTCCTTTCCTCGAGTCTCAATGGATGACATTGTGTACAGTCCTGTTAAATTTCAGCTCAGCAGAGCTTACTTTGTCCTTGTGATTTTGTATAGTGTTACATACCCTGGAAGGTTTGCTTTTTGTTTCTGTCACTAGAAAATTTGTAGTTTGCTTCTATATGTTTCACCAGTTTCATGGGTGACGCTTCTTAGAGTTATTTACATGGAACTCCTACTTCCTAGGAAGCATGGCTTACAGCTATACCGGTATAATCTTACCCACATAAAGGATTAGAGGCACACTGCACTGCCCCAATACAAAATAAATAAAAATTACTGTTTAGTAGATCTACCCCAAAATAAAACATGCATTTATTCATTCAGGTATAACTAAAAACTGCTTGCAACAGTTGCAGGTCTGCCTGTGCAAGTCCTCCTCTTCTAATCAGACTTTCTGTGTCTGTCCAATCACAGACCCAATGCAGCTCAATAAGAGTTCTTTGCAAGGCAGGTGCTCTGGGTAATTGTTGTCTCTTGAGTTTATCTCCACTGAGCTAAACAAACCAGGAAGTAATGGGACTGGTGTCTGATTGACAGCCAGGGGGGTGTAACCAGTTTAATTTATAAAAGTGCCAATTCCTACTCTAATCTGCACTTTTTGCAAAATGAAATAAAGAGGACACACTCTTCACACATAAAGCTTTTCAGCGAGATAGAGTGCCCCAGGGGTCCGTGGTGTCCCTTTTAGTAAGACTGTAATAGATTGAAGCAGAGATCCTGCCTCACATGTTATTTTCCATCTCTGTACAGGCTTACCAGTGATTGTCGACGTGAGGGGCAACATTAAAGATGAACCAATGGAGGAAGAGTTTTATTGGAACACGGACCGTTCAGAGACAGTTGGTGAGTGCGACAGAAACATTTCCTCCATGAGGAATGAATTTATCTTCATTTTCTTCTAAATATAAGTACCGGTATATATTTATAAATATAGATCTTGCTTTGCTAAGTTTGTTTTTTGTGTGTGTTTGTGTGTAATCTGGTTTTATTAAAATAAATAAAATCCTTTATAAATACTTCGAACAATATAATAAACATGATATTAAATATAAAGGTGAAACCCTATAACAGCTTAATCTTCCCAAAGATGGGACGGAAGGGAGATCACATAAAGCTCTGTGATGCTGGGATTTTTGTCCTCTTGACAGGTTTTGCAGACAGTGAACGTCTTACGGATGTGAAAATGGAGGATGAGAAGCCAAATGCTGAGAATAATGAAATCTGCACAGATCCAGCCGAGGGTGAGTAACTAACAAAGCGAAAATGGAGAGAGCAGGAGGGAACGAAGCGGAGCACTGCCTGTGTAGGAATCTCAAAGCACGTAAGCAGAGTTCATTTAGAGCAGTTACCACTGAATGAGGTCCCTAGCTTCTCATTGTTCCGCACCGATTGGAGATGTGGCTATGGCAAAGATTACACACTTCCTTCTAACCATACCAATTCATACCAGCAACGAGTGCGGTGATAGGCTGAAAGCAGTCACCTGGACACTCTCAGCCAATCACAATCACAACCATTAGCCCAAACACCATAGGAATGGGCTGCTGGGGGCTCTCATTTAGCATTGACCATTAAAAGCTATTTAACACTGAAAGGAAGGCTGGGAGGTGAACCGGTTTGAGTGCCAACAACATCGAGGCCGGCTCACTGTATCCTTTAGGGAAGACCGTTACTGCCATACTGAAGACAGCTAGAGAGCTCGGGACCTGCAGGAACGTGTATTTTTGTTGAATTTCTGGTCAGCTATTCAGAGTGTGTATCAGAAATCATAGTTTAATTCTACTGAGTGCCTGATTTCTCTCCCGCTGCTGTGATAGTTTGTTTTATCGATCGCTTTTGCAGAGAGTGAACGTCTTTTTACGAATGTGAAGATGGAGGATGAGGACCTTCCAAACCCAGTGAACAATGAAATCTGCACAGATCCAGCCGATGGTGAGTATCCTCTTTTTATTTCCAGTGAGTGGGAAACAAGGAAAAAAGTTAAATAAAAAACTCACATATGGAAAAAGTAGGAAGGAAAGGGATTGAGAATTGCATCCATATTCTAATTGAACTGAGTTTATTACTGTAGCGGCCACACCTAAAGAAGAGGGGATTCCGCCGCCAGAGATGTCCTTTCAACCTTGTATGAGTAATGCTGTAGTATTCCCAAGCCGTAATCCAAGCTGTAATGAAGCAGGTATAGCGGTTCCCTACAAGCATGAGACGAGGCTCTGTGTTGAGGGTAAAGCTAAATTAGTTTAATGGCAGCCACAATTGACCTTATATGCAACTCCTCAATTAAGGGGTTTCCTGATACATATTGTAGCGGAGCTGCGATATTAAATCCCAAGATCTCCGCTGGTATAGAAGGTAATCCAAACTAAAGCGCTGGAAAAGAAGGCAATATCCCAAATCCCCCCCAGAGTCAACTGACAATTTTATTCACGACTCCAGGAGTCAACTGACAATTTTATTCACGGCTGTTAGCCTATGCATGCTCTCTATTCTAAAACACACAAATACATTTTTACACCAGGTTAACACAGCTATTTCAGACAACCTTTAAATGTTTTGCAATATGACCTAAAGTGGCTCCCCCAGAACCAAGCCGGCATACACAGTCTGATCCCAACGGATCGGCTTGGGGATGTCCGGAGGAGTACTCGCAGATCATTTCTCAAGGTCAGTCTGTCTAGATAACCTGTCTGCGAATAGTGAAGTCAAAAGGCTGCAGCACCAAACTCCACCGCAGCAGCCTGGCATTGTCCCCCGCCACACGGTTCAGCTACACCAACGGGTTGTGATCTGTGAGTAAGGAGAATGGTTGTCCATATAAATAAGGTTGTAACTTTTTGAGGGCCCACACCACGGCCAGGCATTCTTTCTCAATGGTGGCGTAGCTCACTTCACGGGGTAATAACCTTCGGCTTAAGTAAGCTACGGGATGTTCTCCGCCATCTGCTCCAACTTGGCTCAGCACTGCTCCCAGTCCAAACATTGAAGCGTCTGTGTGGACAAGAAATCGTTTAGTTGGATCAGGAGCAGCAAGTACAGGTGCATTGGTTAAAGCAGTCTTGAGTTGTTGGAACGCCTTATCACACTCTGGGGCCCAGATGACCTGTCGAGGAAGGTTTTTGTGGGTCAAGTCAGCCAGGGGTTTGGCCAGGGCACTATAATTGGGTACGAATTTTCGGTAGTACCTTGCAGTACCCAGGAAGGCTAGCACTTGGGTTTTTGTCCGGGGGATAGGCCACTTAGCTACTGCTTCAATTTTTGCTGGTTCAGGCTTTTGCTGTCCACAACCTTCCCGGTGCCCCTGGTACTGTACCTCTGCCATTTCTATGTGACACTTGCTGGGCTTTAGCATCAACCCTGCCTCTCCGATACGGTCAATGGCTGCTCCAATATGTCGCAGGTGGTCTGACCAGGTCTGGCTATAGATGGTGATTATAATCCAGGTATGCACATGCATACTTCTGAAACCCATCCAGTAGCCGATCCACCATCCGTTGAAAGGTAGTCGGAGCGTTTTTCATCCCGAATGGCATGACGCGAAACTGATACAAGCCAAACGGGGTGACAAACGCCGACTTGGGGATGGCATCCTCGGCTAGTGGAATCTGCCAGTACCCATTGCATAAATCTATTGTAGTAAGGTACTGGCCTCGTGACATTTTGTCTAGCAGCTCGTCTAACCGGGGCATCGGGTAGGCATCAGACACTGTTTTGTCATTTAGCCTCCGGTAGTCTACACAAGAGTGCCGTCCTTCTTGGGTACCAGCACATATTCACGTGGAGCATGTGTCTCTTCCCTGTTCCTGAGCAGGGGCCAATCACATAGGTGGTGTCACATCTCTGTTCCACCACCTGGTATAGGCCTTGCCAGATGGCCTGCAGCTTGTCATTGCGAACAGGTTTTAAAATCAAAACTTTCTGTCCCACGTGAAATCTGCGGTCTCTGGCTCCCCTATCATACCAGCGGCGCTGGCGTTGTTGGGCCGCCTGGAGGTTGGTCAGTACGGTCTGGGTTAGTGCCTCCAAGTGGTCCCTGAGCTCCTTGCACCCTTCTCCCAAACAGTAGTTCAAAAGGAGAAAAGCCTGTGGACTCTTGAGGTACCTCTCTGTAAGCGAATAGCAGATGGGGTAGGAATCGCTCCCAGTCCTTATAGGCCTCTCCACAGGTACGGAGCATCTGCTTTAACGTCCCATTAAACCTTTCACATAGCCCATTAGACTGCGGGTGGTACGCAGAGTTCACGATAGGTTTAATGCCACATATTCTCCATAGTTGGGTCACCTCGGCCGTGAACTGCATACCACTATCCGATATGATCTCCTGGGGGAACCCCACTCGGGAGAATACTTTCATTAAGGCCCCGGCCACTGTCTCGGCGTGGATATTAGAGAGGGCTACTGCTTCGGGGTACCGGGTGGCGTAGTCTACTATGGTCAAGATATATCTCTTGCCGCAGGGACTGGGTTTTGGTAAGGGCCCTACTATATCTACGGCCACTCTACTAAATGGTTCGTCTATGGTGGGCATAACTTGACCTTGGGCCGGTCACCCCTCTTGCCTACTCGTTGACAGATGTCACATGTCTGGCAGTACTGCCGCATGTCCTTGAATGTAACCGGACAGAAAAAGGCGTGGGTCAAGCGGTATCGGGTGCGAGTCATCCCCAGATGCCCAGACAAGGGGATGTCGTGAGCGATCCGAAGAAGTTCCTGTCTATATTTCTGGGGGACCACTAGCTGTCTAGTAGTCACATTCACAGATCCCCCCCCACTACCCTTTCAGAAATGTGGTACAGTAACCCCTTTTCCCAGGTATACTGTTCTCCCTCTAATCCGGCCTGGTCGGAGATCACCCTATCCCTGTATACTTTTAACGTAGGGTCTATCTGAACCTCAGCCTCAAATTCAGTCGGGGTATCCCAGGTAACACGGGTCGTAGGAGGGTCCCTGTCTTTTTTACCTGAGCCTCAGTGTGGCAAACCTAGCCACTTGGACAATAACTAGAGACTGTGCCTTTAAGGGTTGCCTACAGGTCTGGAGACATATGTGTTTTATTCTTATGTACGTGCTTGATGTATTTCTGTGGAGACTGTAATTACCTGTGTCGCCGAATGCCAATGGCGGTTTGTATGGGGATTCTCGTTCGTTGCACGAACGGCCCTCCAAAGTGCCGTTCGTGAAACGAACGCGATACCCCCTAATAGCCCACACACTTAGAGGCGTATGGCGCTAGTTAACCGATTGCAACAATGTTGCAATCGGTAATTAGAGGCTCTCCTGGGTGGCCGTCGTTCGACTACCGACCATGCGGCGGTCGGCCATCTTGGATCCTTTGTTCCTCAGCGGGTCCGTGTTGTCGAACGCATAGCATTACCAATAGCTATTCGACGGCACGAACACCGCTGAGCCTCCAGGACGTTCGGGAGTTTCAGAACCAGGTTCACTAAAAGTAATCGGTTCTTTTCGTGTGTTTTGAAAGAAATGTGTTTTCTGTGCGGCGTTCGGTTATTTTAGCTGGGATCTGAGCGGCAATCTCACGAATGATGCGCCCAGACCCCAGCTATCTACCGAACGTCCATTCGTGTAAATCTACCGTGTATTTTAAGAGTTATAGATTTTTGTATGAATTGCCGGTTCTGCTGCACGAGGGGATAATCCCCTTAACGGTGCATTCTGGGAGGAGGATCCCTCTCGTGCAGCGGTGCCTGATGGGAGAAATATGTTATACTGTAAGTCCCCCATGTAGTCCCCTCTGGGAGTGCCCCTGGGAAGGGACTCAGGAAACCCCTTGCATGGGGACTTGTATAAATTGTCTTGCCGATTAAAAGGTTGTCAGTTGACTCCCAAAACTGTGTCTCGTCCGGTTATTGGGAGGTTGGGGATATTGCCTTGGTGTTTTCAGCGCTTGACTGTGGATTCGTTTCTGGACCAGCGGAATTCGTGGATTTAATATTGGCATTCCGCTACACTCAGAGTGCGCTGCTGGAGCCGTGGTGCGAGCCTGTTGCCTGGTGGTTACTGGGTGAGCCTCTTGGAGTGGAGCTTGAGGAATAATGGCGGAAGTCATTCGACCCAGGTCGTTTCCCAATACGACATCCGCTGGCAGTTTCTACATCAGGCCCACCTCTACCATGCCCTCCCCAACACCCCAATTCAAATGTACTTTTGCAGTGGGTAATCTGTATACCGCTCCCCCTGCTACTTGCACTGCTACAGATCTGCCGGTGTGTGCGGAGCCTGGATCCAAATGAGGGGCTACCAGAGTCAGAGTGGCTCCCGTAGCCCTTGGACCTCTTTCCCTTCCAGGGTTACTTGCTGGCGATGGTGTTGCCTGTTGTCTGTGGCTTGTACCGACATCACATCGTGTAGTATCCCCAGGGGCTCTATAGTCTGATTAAAGAGTATCTCCTGGGTTGCTGGCTCCGCCTGGTAGTGGTGGGCTTCTGCTCTTGGTGCTGGATTCTGCCGTACCTGGATCCATGCTTGGCGGCTCCGGTTCTGGGTACACTCTCTCGTCATGTGGCCACATTGTTTGCACGTATGGCACTGTATATTCGCTCTGCCATTATACCTGGATGGTGGAGTGTGCCCCCCCCCGGGGTTGGCCGGAATGGGTTTGCTGTAGGTGCAGTTGGGGTAGCTGTATGAGGTTGAGCGGTGGGTCGAGGGTACCCTCGGTTGAGGTTACTGTGATGCCTCCTGGCGTCATAGTGCTGGTCTGCTAGTCTTGCAGCTTCTGTTAGGGTGAGGGGTTTTCTATCTCTCACCCATTCCTGTGCCTCTGGGGACAGGCCATTGAAAAACTGTTCTAACAGCAGCAATTGCCGGAACTCCTCCATGGTGGTTGCTTGACTGGCTTGTATCCACCCCTGGGAGGCTTGGTCCAGTTTGTGGGCCCACTCTGCATGGGAATCTTTCTCTGGTTTACGCAACCCTCGAAACTTGCGCCGGTATGCCTCTGGGGTAATGGCGTATCTTTCCAGTATAGCCTGTTTTACCCGGGCATAATCTTTACTGTCCTCCCTGGGTACAGCCCGATAGGCTTCGGCTGCCCGACCTGAAAGTTTGCCTGCCAGTAAAGGTACCCACACTGCCTGCTCCAAATCATGCAAGTCACATAGCCTCTCAAAGTCTTGTAGATACCCATCAATCTCGTCTTTCTCTTCACTGAACATTTTAAACGCATGGTATGGTGTAGCGGATAGCACCAGGCGACCCTACAAATATACTGTATATACCTGCATTCGTGTATCTGCTGTGTTTTTCTATGTATTAAAGAGAATTGTATTCCTCTGATTGTTCGGTAGTTTCATTCCCTTAGTTTATTCGAATGAAACTACCGAACAACCAGACCTCCCCTGTGTGAAGTGTGTCCTCAATTACCTGTTGCAACATTGTTGCGAACGGGTAATTGAACAGTAAGTAGCCGTCCTTTGTTCTCGGGGGTGGCCGCCATTCGACAAACGAACACGTGGCGGCGGCCATTTTAAAACTCCCGAACAGCGGTGTTTTGCCGTCGAGTGTCTGGAACTAAAATCGGACACTCGAGTAGGCGAACACCGCTGAGACCTCCACAGCCCTGGTCCGTTCGGTTCCAAACTACCGAACGGCCCCTCGTTCGGTAGATAGAAAATACCGAACGAGGGGATTCAGGCGAACCCTCCCTAGCCTCTATAGCTAGAGGTTTTCGTGTATTTTATTCCCTTATGCCAGGACCGACCGCAGGGCCCATTCACATGGAACCGGATTCGGCTATCTCAGTTCGTGCGGTCGGTCATTTTATTCCCTCCATACTTTTCCCGAACCCCTGGTCTGATCTGGGTGATTTTTGGATATGTTGGTCACCCAGATCAGGGGTATCCGGGGATGTAGGATTTAAAGAGGTACCCCTACGTTTAGGGGTACATCCAGAAACGGGGGGAATTGGTGTGCTGGATAAGGGGATTATGATGCTGGCTGAGGGGAGGAGATGTGTGGGAGGTTACCAGGACAGGATTGGCTACTGTAATAATTACTGTAAATCCCTCCCTTGCATGGGAGCATGCTTTATAAGGAGACTGTGATTAAAGGCTTTCAGTTATGCTCCTGAAACTGTGTGTCGTCCAGTTATTGGGATTGCTGTTGGGATATTGCTGTATTTTACCTGCTGGAAGCCTTGCCTGTGGATTTACTATTTACTTGTTCCTGAGTCCCACTTGGATTATAAGCGGAGATAACCTGGGTAATATTGCATCTCCGCTACATTGGTTGGCAGCGGTGGGATCCAGACTCACAGAGGAACAAGCCTAAATGGAGTACGGATGGAGATTGATTTTGCAACACTAAAACGCTCCACGCTAAAAGACCTTCTGGAGGCAAGGGGTATACAAGCCAGCAATAAGACAAAAGCGGTACTCATTACTGAACTGATGGCGGAGTACCGAATGGACAGCGATTTGGTTCCCGAACAGGGGAATTCGGGAGAAACACCGGAACAAAGGGAGTTCCAGAGGCAGGTACAATTTCGGCTGTCTTTCTATGGGGAACACCCTCCAACAGAGATTGTTTGTTTCAAAAACGATGACGGAGGTCCAGGAATTTATACTGAGGAGTCAAACAGCGGCCCCAGAACGCAGCTCTGCAGTAAATATGCCACAAGAAGGTAAGCCTAAAATACCATACCAGGCTTTTAAAACATATGTGGAGGCAGAGGAAGATATAGACGCTTTCCTGCAAGATTTTGAGAGACTGTGTGCACTGCATAGAATCAGCGCAGAGGACTGGGTACCTATTTTGGCAGGGAGGTTAACTGGGAGGGCAGCTGAGGCATACCGTACTGTACCTAATGAAGAAATACGGAATTACAACAAAGTGAAAGAAATTATATTGGCCAGGTATGCTATAACACCAGAAGCATACCGGCGGAGATTCAGGGATTTAAAGAAGGTGGAGAAAGACTCACACGCAGAGTGGGCATGCAGACTACAACGAGCAGTCTTGGGGTGGGTGCAAGTGAGCAAGGCACGGTCTATGGAAGATGTATTGCAAATGGTACTGCTGGAGCAATTTTATGAAGGAGTAACCAGCGAGGTACAGGAGTGGGTAAGAGACAGAAACCCTACCTCCCTTACCGAAGCAGCCAGGAAGGCAGACGAGTACCTGGATGCACGCAGGCAGCAAAAACCTGCAGCTCCAAAAGTACCTTTTAAAACCTTTGGGGGGAACAACTACACGCCAGCTCTACCAAGACCACTGCCACCACCCCCACCGCCCGCTGCACAGCCACGTTTCCGCCAGCCCACGTCGGGCCCTTGCCACCACTGCCAGAAATGGGGACATTATAAAAGGGAATGCCCCCAGCTGCGGGACCGTTCCACCTGGATTCGCCCCGGCCCACCACCACCACCGAGAGCAGCCGCAGCCCACCACTACCAGGACATCGTGGCCACACCGTATGGTTCAGCAGTTCCCATCACAACGGTAGAACAGTGGGAGGTACTGCACGAGGCAGATCCCGTCCAGGCTAATGCTGACAACCGCCAGCATCACAGGCAGACCGTGTATCTGGAGGGTAAAGCGGTTCAGGGGCTACGTGACTCAGGAGCCACCATCACCCTGGTAAAAAGTCACCTGGTCTCAGACCAAGCTAAACTAAGTAAGACTGTGGCCGTCAGGGTAGCCGGGGGAGCAGTATACCGGCTACCTACAGCAAGGGTACATTTGCATTGGGGAGCGGGGGCAGGGCATGTGGAGGTGGGGTTGATGCCGCAGTTACCGGCGGAGGTTTTATTGGGGAACGATCTGGGGAGGCTCACATCTGCTTTTGAGCCCCAGACACCCACCACAGGAGAAGCTCACCCTGTGGTTACTCGACAACAGGCCCGCACCCAGGACTACAACACACTCCCGGAGGTTCAGGTAAGAGATCCTTCCCCTTCCCTTGACTGTGTTCCCTGGGCCCCTCCTAACGAATTTGCAGCTGAGGTAGTGACTGACCCCACCTTGCAGGTGTATAGGGACAAGGTGACAGCAGACACGCCTGGGGGGGAGGGCGAAAGGTTTATTTGGGACAAACAGCTGTTATATCGGGAGACGGATAAGAAGGTATCCGGGTCAGACCCGATTGTGATGAGGCAGTTAGTGGTACCTCAGCGGTACCGGGCGGAGTTACTACGGATAGCACATGACATTCCGCTATCTGGACATTTAGGGGTCAGCAGGACCCGATACAGGTTAACCCAAAGTTTCTTTTGGCCGGGAATTAGCCAGGAGGTGCGCAGGTATTGCAACACGTGCGATACCTGTCAAAGGGTGGGGAAAAGGGGGGACCGGCGCAAGGCCAAGTTACATCCCCTTCCCATAATCGAGGAACCCTTTAGCAGGGTAGCAGTTGACCTAATAGGACCCCTCAACAAAGCGAGCCCGTCAGGTAAAAGATTTATCCTGACAGTAGTAGACTATGCCACTAGATATCCAGAGGCGGTGGCCCTGACGAATATACAGGCTGAGACAGTAGCAGAAGCCCTGATGAAGATATTCTCCCGGGTGGGACTCCCCAGGGAGATTGTCTCCGATCAGGGCACCCAATTCACCGCCGAAGTCACGCAGCGCCTCTGGAAGTTTTGTGACATTAAGCCGGTCATTAGTTCCCCTTACCACCCCCAGACGAATGGGCTCTGCGAACGTTTCAACGGTACATTGAAACAAATGCTCCGAACCTTCGCAGAGACCCACAAGGACTGGGAGAAGTTCCTGCCCCACCTCCTCTTTGCTTATAGGGAGGTGCCGCAGGAATCCACTGGGTTTTCCCCATTTGAACTATTGTTTGGCTGCAGGGTACGAGGGCCTTTAGATTTGATCAGAGAGCATTGGGAGGGAGAACGGAGCACTGACGGTACCCCCATCATACCATATGTGTTGGCATTCCGAGACCGCCTTGAGGCCTTAACTCAGACGGTACGCGAGAATTTGCAGGCGGCTCAGACACGCCAGCGCACATGGTATGATCGGGGCGCCAGGGACCGTAGCTTTCAGGTCGGGCAGAAGGTGTTGATCTTAAAACCTGTCCGACACGATAAGCTGCAGGCCGCCTGGCAGGGCCCTTATAAGGTGGTAGAACAACGGTGTGACACCACTTATATAATCGGCTCGTGCGTTGGTACTGGGGGGCGACGCATGCTCCATGTAAACATGATGAAGCCCTACCAGGAGCGCTCTGAGGAAGTGACCGCTATATGTGCGCCTAACTCCGAGGAGTTTGACAGTTTGCCTCTCCCGGATCTGCTGGGAGAGGGTCAGTTATCCGGGGACTTAGGGGAAGTCACCCTGGGGGATCGGTTGAGCCCACAGGAGCGGAGCGAGGTACAACAGCTGTTGAGGGAGAAGCAGGATATCTTCTCTAATGTACCTGGTTACACTCCTCTGGCCACTCACAGAGTAGACACCCCAGGGCAACTTCCCATGCGTCAGACCCCGTACCGCATCCCAGAAGCGGTACGGGCGAACATGCGCAAGGAGATCGATGAGATGCTCCAGCTGGGGGTGATTGAGCCCTCCGACAGCCCCTGGGCATCTCCGGTAGTACTAGTACCAAAGCGGGACGGCACGACCCGGTTTTGTGTAGACTACCGGAGATTGAATGAGAAGACGGTATCTGACGCCTACCCCATGCCCAGGATAGACGAACTCCTGGATCGGATGGCGAGGGGGCACTATCTCACCACGATTGACTTGTGTAAAGGGTATTGGCAAATACCCTTGGCGCAAGACGCCATCCCTAAGTCGGCCTTTGTCACCCCATTCGGCTTGTACCAATTTAAGGTCATGCCGTTTGGGATGAAAAACGCCCCGGCTACTTTTCAGCGGATGGTGGACCGCCTCCTGGATGGGTTCCAAGATTATACCTGCGCATACCTCGATGATATTGCCATTTTCAGCAATACCTGGCAGGAACACCTGACCAAATACCCTGGTGTTCCTGCCAGGTATTGCTGAAAATGGCAATATCATCGAGGTATGCGCAGGTATAATCTTGGAACCCATCCAGGGTATATAGGAGCGGTCCTAGACAGGATTAGGGCCGCTGGTTTAACACTGAAACCAGCCAAATGCAGCATAGGCATGGCTGAAGTACAATACCTAGGTCATCGAGTAGGATGCGGCAAGCAAAAGCCAGAACCAGCCAAAGTAGAGGCTGTAGCTCAATGGCCTACCCCTAGGACTAAGACTCAGGTATTAGCGTTCCTAGGAACGGCCGGATACTACCGGAAATTTGTCCCGAATTACAGTGCCCTGGCCAAACCTCTCACCTACTTGACCCGTAGAAACCTACCCCGCCAAGTAACCTGGACCCCGGAGTGTGAACAGGCATTTCAGTTGTTGAAAGATGCATTGACAAATGCCCCTGTCTTGGCAGCTCCCAATCCAACTAAACGTTTTCTTGTCCACACAGACGCTTCTATGTTTGGATTGGGAGCAGTATTGAGCCAAGTCGGGGCCGATGGCGGAGAACATCCCGTGGCTTACATCAGCCGGAAACTGTTACCTCGAGAAGTAAGCTACGCCGCCATCGAGAAAGAATGCCTGGCTGTGGTGTGGGCCCTGAAGAAATTACAGCCATATTTGTACGGACAAGCTTTTTCCCTGCTCACGGATCACAACCCGTTAGTATGGCTAAACCGGGTGGCTGGGGACAATGCCCGGCTGCTGCGCTGGAGTCTGGCGCTGCAGCCCTTTGACTTTAATATCCAGTACCGCCCGGGTAAACAGAATGGAAATGCTGATGGGTTGTCTCGACAAACTGACCTAGAGAAATGATCCGTGAGCCTCCCCGGACATCCCCAAGCCGATCCGTGTTGGATCAGACTGTGTATGCCGGCTTGTGGGCAAGGGGGAGCAGTGTAGCGGATAGCACCAGGCGACCCTACAAATATACTGTATATACCTGCATTCGTGTATCTGCTGTGTTTTTCTATGTATTAAAGAGAATTGTATTCCTCTGATTGTTCGGTAGTTTCATTCCCTTAGTTTATTCGAATGAAACTACCGAACAACCAGACCTCCCCTGTGTGAAGTGTGTCCTCAATTACCTGTTGCAACATTGTTGCGAACGGGTAATTGAACAGTAAGTAGCCGTCCTTTGTTCTCGGGGGTGGCCGCCATTCGACAAACGAACACGTGGCGGCGGCCATTTTAAAACTCCCGAACAGCGGTGTTTTGCCGTCGAGTGTCTGGAACTAAAATCGGACACTCGAGTAGGCGAACACCGCTGAGACCTCCACAGCCCTGGTCCGTTCGGTTCCAAACTACCGAACGGCCCCTCGTTCGGTAGATAGAAAATACCGAACGAGGGGATTCAGGCGAACCCTCCCTAGCCTCTATAGCTAGAGGTTTTCGTGTATTTTATTCCCTTATGCCAGGACCGACCGCAGGGCCCATTCACATGGAACCGAATTCGGCTATCTCAGTTCGTGCGGTCGGTCATTTTATTCCCTCCATACTTTTCCCGAACCCCTGGTCTGATCTGGGTGATTTTTGGATATGTTGTTCACCCAGATCAGGGGTATCCAGGGGATGTAGGATTTAAAGAGGTACCCCTACGTTTAGGGGTACATCCAGAAACGGGGGGAATTGGTGTGCTGGATAAGGGGATTATGATGCTGGCTGAGGGGAGGAGATGTGTGGGAGGTTACCAGGACAGGATTGGCTACTGTAATAATTACTGTAAATCCCTCCCTTGCATGGGAGCATGCTTTATAAGGAGACTGTGATTAAAGGCTTTCAGTTATGCTCCTGAAACTGTGTGTCGTCCAGTTATTGGGATTGCTGTTGGGATATTGCTGTATTTTACCTGCTGGAAGCCTTGCCTGTGGATTTACTATTTACTTGTTCCTGAGTCCCACTTGGATTATAAGCGGAGATAACCCGGGTAATATTGCATCTCCGCTACATATGGGATCTTAGGCTTTACCTGGCTGACGACTGAAGCAGTAATAGACTCTTCTCTGGGAGGAGCATCCTGCGTTCCGTGTGCCATCACATACTCCTGTACATCCGCCATCAGTACTGTCAGTATTTCTAGGGGTACTGGCTGTGGTAAAAATTCCATCCTGGTCTTCATTTCCTTTTGGAAGGGGGTTTCTTCCATGGCTGGTGGGGGTGTAACGCTGTGAGCTCTGTCTCCCTCCATCAATTCAGCAATCAGGACAGCTTTAGGCTTATTGCTGGCTATCTTACCCCTGGCTTCCAATAGTTCCTTTAACGTCTGCCGTTTCAATGCAGTGTAGTCTGTCTCCATTCACCTCTGTGTTCGGTTCTTTGCTGCATCCGAATTGCCATTCACTTTCCTGTTCGGTAGTTTCAATTACGCGAACACCGCTTTTCGGCTGTAAGGTTGGATCCCGTCACTTGCCACCAATTGTAGCGGAGCTGCAATATTAAATCCCAAGATCTCCACTGGTATAGAAGGTAATCCAAAGTAAAGCGCTGGAAAAGAAGGCAATATCCCAAATCCCCCCCAGAGTCAACTGACAATTTTATTCACGGCTCCAGGAGTCAACTGACCATTTTATTCACGGCTGTTAGCCTATGCATGCTCTCTATTCTAAAACACACGAATAAATTTTTACACCAGGTTAACACAGCTATTTCAGACAACCTTTAAATGTTCTGCAATATGACCTAAAGTGGCTAGGTTTGCCACACATATTCCAGGGGCATTCCCCACTGGACCTTAGAGTAGACTACAGTAAAGTACACAACTTAATTTTCTGGTCCAGGACATACATAACAAAAACACCCAAAAACATACTGTTAACAATTGGGTACCCCATCAAGTCCTATATAGCCTGGATCTGAGCGCCCAATATATCCGAAAATGGCTCAGATATCACAAATGTAGCCGAAATGCCACTGGTGTATAGTTTAGACTGACCGCACACGAGGCGCCTGCCCAAAAGAGTTCAATGAATTCAGACTGAGCGGCCGGTCTCTTTCGGGAGTATGAAATATAACAAAATGATGAAGATAACCATTAGTAAATAAGTGGGTGGTGTGTCCCTCGTTCGGCAGTTTGCTCCCACCAAACGCCGCTACTCTCAGACGAATAGAAATGAACAAATGTTGAAGTGGAAGTTCCAGCAGTGTTAGCGCCTTCAAGTGTCCGATTCACTCCATACACTCGATGACCAAATACCGCTGGATGTGTTTGCAAAACAAGATGGCTGCCGCCCTGTGTTCGTCCATACGAATGGCGGCCACCCAGCTTTTCCGAAGATGTTAGTGAGGTCAAGTAGGTTAATGAGCAGGACACGACTGTTCTGGGTGGTCTATCTGTTTGGTACTTTGTTCGGTATACGAACCAAATGGGGCAATCTGTTCGGTGAAGTTCGTATACAGAGCCAGTCAATGCAAAGTAATAATTCAGGAACAGGGGGATCTGTTACAGTTACGAAGTGAGAATTGTCATGAATTTAATGTGAAATTACCTGAACCTGTACCGCGGGATCCTCCATAGACACAGCCAATCCCTGAAGAAGTCGCTGATGATTTTCGGGGGGGTGGGGGAGAGTGGTCCCTAAATCCCTTTATGTGAGGGGTTTAGGGACCAGAGGAGGTGGTTTTATTGTGGAATATATCAGCCAACTATTCAAAGTGTGCAATAGCAGTAGTATCAAAGTATAAACACTTCTCAATGATTTTCACTCCCGCTTTGAAGGTGGTTTGTGTCTTAATATTTCCAGATAAGGAAGCACTTGTTACGGATGTGAAGATGGAGGATGAGAAGCCAAATGTTGAGGACCTTCCAAACCCAGTGAACAATGAAATCTGCACAGATCAAGCCAACGGTGAGTATTCTAGAACTCCTTCTATATCACAGAATGATATCAAAGAAGTGGGAATTCATGCTTTGTGTTCTGACAAGGTGAACACACTATTATTAAGAAACTATTCTGTTCTGAAGCTCTCAGCTTGGATCATGGGTTTATCATCAGTTGCAGTTGCCAGGCTGGCGATGAGATCCTGGCTGAAATCCTGGACTGCGGTTACAGCTTTTTAAGCATCTTTATGCCAGCTTCCATTTGAAGGCACAAACTGTTTGGTTCTTCTCTGGTACATGAAACAGCAGAAAGATCATACTGATAAAATGATCGGTCTTGCAGTTTCAGCAGACAGCAACAGGATGTCAGGCCCGGTGAGAAGCAATCCCATAATATTACAAACTAAAGGAGAAAATTATGACACTAGACAGAGAGTGGGAGGAAGACTACCAGCATTCATTCAGCAATGGGAGCGGATCGCTCAAACCCTTGGGTGTTGAAAACCATCAGAAATGGGTACACAATAAGATTTCTGGAGGTTCCTCCTGCTCAGTTTCTTTGTTCAATAAATTCTGCTCAAGTAAAGACAGATGTCCTACTACCTGAATCTCTGGTCCCTCCCCAAACAGGAGTAATAGAAAAAGTTCCAAAGAAAGAATGTTTTTTAAGGGATCTATTCAAGACTTAGCATTGAAACGAGAGAATTCCTTCTGTTCCATTCTGGATATAAAGAATGTGAACATAAGCATCTAATATCAAAGATTCTGAATGGAGACGATTTTATCAGTTACCCACATGCTACGCAGAGGAGATTATATGGTCACTTTAGATTTTAAGGACGCCTATCTTCACTTTCCTTTGGCATTGAGCTGAGATTTACAATCAAGTCAGGAAGAAGGATTTTGCACTTTCAATTAAGAGCCCTCCCATTTGGCCTCTTCAGAGCTCCAAGAATCTTTACCAAACTTCTTTCTTTGGCAGTCGAGCTCTGAGAAAAGGGTATTGTAGTTGTCCCTTATTTATGCGATTTGGCTTCTAAAAGCCAACTCAGGTCTGCAACTGCCAAGAAACAAAGTTATACTTTAAGCCGGTCAGGAACAGGGATAGCTGGTAAACTGGGAAAAGTCACATTTTATTCCTGCAATAAGAATTATATTTTTAGGTCTAGAAGTAAACTCCAGGTCTCTTTCTTACCTTCTGACATGGAAGCTTGAGGGGGAAGTTTAGAAAGAGGTGACTGCTCTGCGAATAGGTTCATCCGGCTTCATTACACAGGTAATGAGCACATTTGGAATTTTTACTTATCGTATTCCTGCAGTAAAGTCGACAAAATGCGAATGAGACACATTCAATTGGAAATTCTTCAAACTTGGTCCAGGGAGCAGGAGGATTTGCACTCAAGAATTCTCCATCTCCACCAAAGTTTGAAACTACTTACAATAGTAAATTCATTAGGATTTCCGGTGTCTAGGCCTCTCCTTCCACCAATAAGACTGACTGACTTACAATTACCACAGATGCCTCAATAACTGATTGGGGTGGTCCCCTAAATTCTTTATTCCACCAAGGCAGATGGTCTTTAGAGGAGGCAAAACATTCATCCAACTTCAGGGAACTGAAAACAGTTCTGAGGACTCTACATGCTTTCGGTTCTCCCATACCTTCTCTTCCTGGCTTTGTGCACCGATTATGGCATGGCTAGTAAAGAACATTTCTGCCATTCACATCGGTGGAGTAGATAACATTATAGCAGATGACCTAAGCAGGGCACAGTGTACCCGAAAATGTTTGCAAGAATCACAAAGAAAATTGGCCAGCCAGAAATAAATCTCATGGCAACCAGACTAAACAGGAAAGTACCTACTTTTGGATCTCTATACTAAACAGAGCAGCTGGCGTTTTTCGACAGCCTCACATATATTTTCCCTCCAGTCTCCATGTTTCCACGTATTCTTCAGAAAATAAGATCAGATAAAGCAGCTACGATGACCATCATTCCCTGCTGGCCAAATCAGAGTTTATTTTTGGAACTGAAACAAATGGCCTTGTCAAGTTGGGAACTTCCTCTCAGTGGAAATACTCCAGATGTTTTAATTGTTTAATTTCCTGAGGTTAATTCTCAGTCATTTAAATCTGCCAGAAGAATTGGTGAACTTCAGGCACTGTCCTGCTCATCAGATTTTACTATTTTCCATGATGATATAAAGTTGTGCTTCCTCACAAACTCTCCTTTATACCCAAGGTGCTTTCCAAGACCCACATCAACCAAACCATCATTCGTCCCACTTTGTGCCAGACAACCTCTTCTCCTAAATAAGCTAAGTTACACTTGTTATATATGAAGAGACCTGGAAATTTAAATCAACTGTTCCTCATCTTGCAGGGTCTCTGGAAACCTTTTCATAAATTGTTAAGGCGTGCTTAAGGGTAAAGAATCCTCCAAGACAACTATTGCCAGTTGGTTCTACAGAGACCATCAAAATGATGTGAATGGTCAATCTCTTAAAGGCTTATTCCACGAGAGTTGTGGCCACCTCTTGGGCAGTGAAAGCATTGGCCGCTCCTGAGGATATCTGTAAGGTGGCTACACGGTCATCAATCATCTGCTATCTCCTGACTATCCACCCATTAAAGGAATCTTGCTATACACCCCTGTACTGCGACTACTACTTGCTGTAAATTCTTTGTTCTTAGTTTAGCGGCAGTACAGATTTCCTTCCCCGTGTAATAAAGTTTTTTGATGTTTTCGCATTATTTGGTCTCCTGGTTCTTTATGCATGTTATAGATAATGTTTAATAAAATGAACAATAATAAAGTTTCCTCCTCTTTTAAAGTGTTCTTCGTGAGTCTTTTTACATACGGTGTGTGCACACATAGTCAGCCCTGAGGGTTTATAAATCCCTTCCACTATAAGCCACTCTCAGATCGTAGCTTGCGGAGTTGCTATAGGGGTTAATTGAAGGTCATTTCTGTCTTACTTTCTTACATTTGAATTGAAATCAGCATTTTTATAAAAGGTATTTGATTGCACGCTGGAAGCAGAAGGCTGTGCTTCTTATAGTGAAGCATTCCATGTGCCGTAGGTCCAGAGCGTGTGACCTCGTCAAGCATTGAAGAAAAGGAGAAAATGTATTGATTGGTTTTATTGTATTAGTGAAAGAGGGCCCTAAATATTAAAAATAAATCAATGTATTTTTACCGTTGGTGTGTTCCTTTACGGGATCAAATCAAACCTTGAGTTGACGACCAGTGACTTTCCTAGGTTTTTGCAAACCTGCTGCTTACTGCTCTTTTTTAATGGGTCTGTCCCCAACTCGAGCTGCTGTATGCAATGCCAGACACCTTACCTGCTGTCTTACCGCCCCTTTAATACCGCCTAACCTGCAGCACTGCTGTGTATATTAATGGCATGAAAGCCTGTAGTAATGATTGTGGTCCATTCATGTCATTTTACATAAAGGCCGCTCCTGACAGTTAATTTCCTGCACACAGGATGTTTGGAGCCTGCCATCAAGAATATGGACGTGAAGATGGAGGAATGGAGGCCAAACGGAGAGGAGTTACAGCCGTCTGCAGGTGATAAACATTTGTTGAGTAATATTTGTAACATCCATACGTAGATAGAACAGCGGCTCTGTCACTTTGCAGGGTCTTTACATAATTTGCAATGACCCCGTTGGTGACATTGCAGCTTGAGGTGTGGTGTGCTGAGGGTGCAGCAGAGGTAAAAGTCAGTTAAACTTGCTGATCCTTTCCCCTCACAGCGCTGCCACTGTAATATACTTCCCCTTGTGCTCAGGAGGATAACACTGATGTCTATGTAGGATCAAGCGAGACTGCGGGAGCTTCCGTAGATGTTGGATCTCATTGAAAGAGTCAATGCCTTGTTTCTAAACTCATTGCTAGTGATAACAGTGGGAAGCAACTAATCTTAATGGCGTTAGTTCTGCCTTTTGTCAGTCTAGTCGTTTGCCAGAAGACCAGTATTTTGTACAAAAGGGACGCAGGGTTTAACTCACAATCTCTTGTTGGCAGGACTTCCAGCGGCCGGACCGGCACTTTTACAAGTCCAACTCCAGAATGAAAACCTGAACCTTGCACAAGGTCCAATACTAATCAATAACAGCATACAAACCGTTCCAGTGGGCCGTGAGTATCCTCTAACTTGTGTTTCATTGTCCCATGCATTCCAGCTGGGCACACCTACCAGTCCAGGATTTAGGGATTACCCAGTTGTGCCTAAAGTGTGGTGTTTGTTTTTTTTTTTAAAACTAAAACCAGCTTAGACACAACAATTTATTTCATATAGCTCTTTTATTAAAAATGATTTGACAAACTGACACAAAAAAGAATTTGGGCAGTCCGGTTTAGAATTATTTTAACAGTGTTTTAAAATATTTGCCATCAGTCCCCTAGTGAGAGACACATGATTGCTTTGTATTTGGAAGCAGACAGTTTGTGTGAGGATTCTGGGTAATGCACTTGTCTCTTTCTCTTTTATTAGAATACATTTTGATTGAGAATCAAATTCCAACATCCAATCTTTTAAATTATCCCGTGGTACTTCATCAAGTAGCGGCTGGACCCACAGACCTTGGCCACATTGCCAGTCCAGTAAATAATAACCCGGGTACAGACGTTGTACGTACCACCAAAAAGATTGCCCCACATCCAGGGCCAAACCAGCCAGAGGAGTCACATACCTGTTCCGATTGTGGGAACAAATTCAAGAGTAACAGCGAACTGAGCAAACACAGACTTACTCACAGCAACAATAACTCTACCCAGAGCGTTAGTGACCAGCCCGGTGCGTCCAGCCACCAGAAAAGCCCTGCTACAGAGAAGGCATTTACTTGTACTACTTGTGACAAAACATTCACCAAGGAGGGCAGCTTCCGTTTGCATATGGACAACCACAAGGAGCAGAGCAATCATATGGGAACTCCAAGGCATTCAAAGGGTAATGTATTCATTCTGAGCCTCACTACTGATGAATAACATGCAGGCTTACCCCAAAATAAAGAAGACCTATTGTAAATTTTTTTGGCATATCATGTATAAACAGATGCAACTTTACAGAGTTCTCATGTCCATATCCCACTAGTGTAAAAGATATATTTGAGTTTTTGGTTAATTGGCTCCCTCCAATGTGAGCGGCCGCACTCCCATTGTAAACTGCTGTGTTCCCTCCAGTGTGAGCAGCTGCTGCTGTGCTCCCCTCCCCGTGTGAGCTGCGTGCTCCCCTCCCTGTGTGAGCTGCGGCACTCCCCTCCCTGTGTGAGCTGCGGCGCTCCCCTCCCAGTGTGAGCTGCGGAGCTCCCCTCCCAGTGTGAGCTGCGGCGCTCCCCTCCCCGTGTGATCTACGACGCTCCCCTCCCCGTGTGATCTGCGGCGCTCCCCTCCAGTGTGAGCTTTTTCCCAAAATATAGCCCCATGTACAAAGCTTTAAAGCTCCCTACCATCATAAATTATTTTTGCACCATCTCATAGCAATAAAAATAAAGCCAATATTTATTTTCTTTTTCATCTGTTCGAGAGGGTTTTTTTTTCATTTACAAATTGAACAAATATGTCAACATCTCCCAGATGAAGACTCTACTGAGTAGAAATTATTCTGTGGCGAGTGCAGTGGACCCTTCAGGCTTTCCGTGGCTAATAACTTTTAGACCTAGAAATGAAAATATCAAGTTCTCTATTAGACCGAATTTAGGACATCTAGTAAAATATAGTATGTTTTTGTTAGAATTCCTTATTATTTTCAGAGTATTGGACTCCTTTTTATATTTTAATCAGGAAAACAAAAATCCGTTCTTGCCTTTAAAGTGACTGTTACGTCGAACTTGCCTTTTCCCAGTCTCTCTCAGAATCTGTTCTTCTTTTCTTCATTTCTGATCTAGTTTTCTTTAAAACATAAGACAGGGACTATTTTGCCCTCTGTATTTTTCCTACGCCTGACTTTCTTTGACCAAAGGAGGAGCTCAAGCTCGCTCTATTTCCTGTGTCAGGGAGGAGGGTGAGTACTTTCTCTAACACAGAAAATGGAGCGGATTTAGGCTCCTCCTTTGGTCAAAGCTGGTCAAGCGTACGAAAAATATAGAACACAAAGTAGTCCCTACTGTGTCTTATATTTTAAAGAAAACTAGATCCGACAGGAAGAAACGAACAGATTCTGAGCGAGGAAGAGACGGGGCTTAGACCTTTCATTTCATTATTCTTAACTGGCATCAGAATGTGTTCACCCGTGAGAGGTCCCACCTTGGGATAGGTCACTGACCTCATGTGTAAGTGTCTCTGCAGGATCTAGCACTGTTACGGCCTCCTTCACGCTGAATGGTAACTGGGAGAGTGACTAGTAGTTACCGATGGATTTACTTCTCTTTGGTTAGATAAAAAAACAACTGAATATGAATTTTGTAAAGTCCTTCCTGTAAAGATTTAAAGTGACAGTGCTGCTTTAATTCCAGTCCTTAAAATATAGTTCATGCCAGATCTCCATTACTGCAAGGACTAAAACAGCCCCAGCCATGACCATCACGTAGTTGGAGAAATGTTCCCAAAGCGGCTGTTTTTGCATAACCTTTTCACTAGAATTTGCTTTTTAGTGAATAACGTGCGTCGTGATCTGCTAAAATGAACGCAGCCCTTAAACTCTTTAATTGGGGAATGGCCAACTTTCATCTTATTTGTGTATTGTTAAAGTATTTTATTAAGGCACAGACATTAAATTATTCTACTTTTTATTTATTAAATAACTGTTTAGTCCCCCACGGCCCCCTCTTACACTCCACACACTGTCATTTCGCTAACAAATTGCTGACCAACAGATATTGAATCACTTGTGTTTAATTGTCCCAAGATGAAACTCATTCTAAATCCGTATGATCTGATTTGCAATGGATGTTGAGAGCCTTACATTGTGACTGGTTAATGGTCTGTCTGGAAGATAATAACCAGATGCCATAAACCAGTTCCAGGCGTTTTCTACTCTTTCATTGGAACATATTAACTGTAGATCAGTTTGTGCACAGATAGACGTTTATTATAATCTGAATACAATCTAAAATCCCGGTATAAACAGCAGGGTCTACCTAGCATGAAGTAATGGAACCGCAGAGGATTGTGAGACATTAGATGACATGTCAGCAAGGGCACTAATATCCACCATGTCTGTTAAACCGTGCGCCGTATGGCCTTGCTCACGTACTTGGTATGTGAATAAAATCTCACTGTTTATCTTTTTATTTTGACAATTTGTGTTGGTTCAGCACCATCATATCTCCAACAATTCTTCTTCTTATTTTATTATTTATATAGCGCCATCAGATTCCGTAGTGCTGTACAATGAGAGTTCTTCATGGTTATTAGTGTTTCACACATAGCAATATGGAATACATTTGGCAACAGTGTAACAACATTAGTGCGCGATGACATTCGTGTTTATACAGCGTGTCTAATTACATTTCTGAGCCATCTGTTTGTCATAAAACAACACCTTAACATTCAGACATAAACCAATTGTGAAAGTAAAAAATTAGGGGGATGGTAGTGAGTGTTGGAAAGGGGAGGTGAATGCTGCTGACTGTTTATCATTTTTATTGCAGCGCCAGAGAGGAATAAAGTGGATGAGCTGCTGCAGAAGCCCTCTCATTCCCTGACCATGCAAGAGAAGCTAGACCTGAAAAGGTTAGGTCCTCCACAACCCAACATTGCTATATTGCAGACAGCAAAAGACAGAGGAAAACAATATAACCGCAACTTTAACCCCCAATGGTATAAGAAAAAGAGCTGGCTTTGTGGTAGTGTCACTAAATCGGCTTTATTTTGTTTCCCTTGCTTGTTATTTGGTGGTGATGAGACTTGGACCAAAACCGGAGTCACCGACATCAAGCATTTGCCAGTGAAGGCTCAGAAGCATGAAATCAGCTCATCACATGTGGAAAACTGTCTGAACTTTAGTATGCTGGGAACAGTGGGTACTGGGACACAACTGAATCCTTACCCTCTTAGGAGCGTCAGAAAACACAATGAAGAGGTCGATAAAAACCGGCACATTCTTTCAAAACTTATAGATTGTATTCGTTTCTGTGGTGCTTTCGAATTGGCATTACGTAGCCACGACGAATCCGAATATTCTTCACATCATGGGGTGTTTCTGGGCTTGGTAGACCTTGTTGCCAGTCTAGATAGTGCGATGGAGCAACATTTGAAAACGGCAACTGTTTTTAAAGACGTCTCAAAATCTATCCAGAATGAGCTTCTGGATATCATGCTGGATGTTACCCGGCAAGTCATCCTACAAGAAATGAAAGAAGCAGATTTTGTGGCAATACAGATAGATGAGACCACGGATGTGACACCAAAGCCTCAGGCTGTTCTAGTGTACAGGTACATACACAAAGGCAGAGCTGTAGAAAGATATTTTGGCTTCATATCTTTGGATGGGTCTAATGCAGAAACCATTGTTGCGTCCTTTTTGGAAAAATTAAACGTGGCTTTCCCACGGCACGATGACAAAGCAAAATTAATAGCTCAAAGTTATGATGGAGCTGGTGTGCTGCATGGTGAAGATGGAGGGATGGCAAGAAAAATAAAAGATGTTTACCCAAACGCTCATTATGTTCACTGTTATGCCCATCAACTGGATTTACTTATACAGCAAGCAGCATCCAGTGTCCCGGGAGTCCGAGTCTTCTTCTGTAACTTAGCTTCTATCGCAGCTTATTTTTCCCGATCCCCTAAGAGGATAGCTGTGCTTGATGAAGTAGTGAGTAGAAGGCTTCCTGGTGCTACACGTCCACCGTGGAACTTTAGTATCAGAACCGCGAATGTCGTCTTAGAACACAGACAAGATCTTATCGAATGTTTCAAAACCGTTCTGTCTCGTGCAGATAATTTTGATGTTATGTCTGTTAGTGAGGCCAAATCATATGCAATATTACTCGAAGAAAGGGAATTCCTGTACTTCCTATGTCTGTTTAAAGAGATTATGCCGCACGTTGATACCCTGTACAGCCAGCTACAGAAGACGGACACCAGTGCTGTGTTTATTCGAAATTCGATCAAAGAATTCACGCGCAACTTAAAAAAGATCCGTGATTCTATTGAGGATATAGAGGGAAAATTGCCAGAGCTGCCAGCAAACGCTAAATATTCGGGAAAACTGATTGTAACATTAAATCAGATCGGAAGGGATGTGTGCAGCACTGTCATAGATTATGCAAAAGAACACTTTTCATTTTATGACCATCTTCTGGGTGCCAGTCTGTTGGCTACGGAGTTGTTTGACAAGTATCTGCTTCGTTTTCCTTACAAAGTGCTGGACGATACGGTTTACGCGTACCCTATGCTGAACAAGGAAAGACTGCGCACTGAGCTAGAAATAATTTATAAAAACAAGGAATTTCGATCCTGCGGTGGAGAAGTTGCAATTTATTCATTTTTGATTAGAAATGACCTGAATGAAGCTTTTAACGAGACGTTCACATTGTTAAAAATTTTAATTACCACGCCAATGCCAACCTCGGAATCTGATCGGTGCTTCTCAACAGTAAAGAAGATAAAAACGTTTCTTCAAAGCTCAATGGTCGAGCATCGACTGGAGGCTCTGTCCATGCTCTCAGTGGAAAGGGAGCTGGTAAACAACATCCCTGACTTTAATAACCGCATCATAGAGAAATTTGCTGCTTTGAAAAATCGCAGAGAACATTTCATGTACAAATCCTAAATTACTGATTAAGACTACACTGGATTCAGCTTTTATTTATTTTTTATATAAAATACAGATTAAGAAACAAAAATACAGCTAAAATTTTACAAAGCTACATTAAATCAACTATTTCAGCAAACCAATATGGGGATCCAGTTACACTATATTACATATTGTGTTAAGCCCACCACTACATCACTGTACCCCAATCGGTACTACACTAATTACTTCACCGTACCCCAATATCGGGCCGGTCCTACACTAATTACATCACAGTACCCTAATATATGTTGGTCCTACACTAATTCTAACGTAGGACACAGATCAAATAGTGTCGTTTATTAATCTGTAAGGGCTATGTGACTATATCATGTAAACGGCTGAAAACACACGTTCCGGGTGTGCCCCAAATCCCCCCTTTCTTCTATTTTTTTTTTTTTTTTTTTAATAAAACTTTTTGGGTTAATAGTTTTTTGTAATTGTTGCACTTTCTTCTACTTTTACTTATGTTCCTGATTCTTGTATTATACTGAGAGCTCAAACAAGGAAGTCTGACATATATCTTGCCCAGGACACTTACGGGTATGGTGAAACTGGGATTCGAGTCTGTATTTCCCCATGTTACCATTGCTCTAAACCTTTCGAAACGCAGCGCTTTTAAAATCCCTGGATAGCTGAGGATACTGGTAGTCACATATCCAAATCTCACGAATTTCCGTTCGGTAGTTTCCGTGTCGCATCGTGTGGTAGTTTGACCGGCTTGCCATGTGGAGGTATCCGAGTTACAGTTCCATAGAATCAGTAGCAAGAGCCGGTCTCCGTTCGCATCTAACTACACGAAAACCACCGTTCGTATGGTTCAGCTGGTTACCTGTGAATGTTCCCCTCATTCGGTAGATACTATCTACCGAACGCCAGTTTATTCGTGAAGGGGAACGTATTCATCCAGGACTTCCATGGGGACCGGGCGTTCGCATGGTTCCCGTACCGAAAACAGTTCCATGCAATTCATGCGTAAGCCCCGCTGACCGCATTCGTGAATTTTAAGATGGCCGCCATCCTTTGTTCTCGCCACGTGTATGTCGAATGGCGGCCACCTAGTAGCAATTAAGTTGCGGTTTTCTCTGTGTTTTAATTGCTACTTGCTACCCAGGGTGTGTGATCCCTGTTCGGTACACGAATACATTCATTCTGAACAGTTTGAACCGAACAATATAGACATTAAAATAGCAGGGAGAGGATTAAACTGAAGCATATAGGCAAATACATAAAAGTCCTTCACAATGGCCCCCCTTTTTCTCCCTGCTCCGGCAACTCGGTTGGACCTTTCCTGGTCCAGTAGGGTTGACGGGTTCAGAGTTTTTAGTCCGAGGTTAAATCCGTTTGGCGTGACAATCCATCAGCATTCCCGTTTTGCTTGCCTGGACTATAATGAATCTTAAAGTCATAGGGCTGTAAGGCCAAGCTCCAGCGTAGCAAACAGGCGTTGGCCCCTGAAACCCGGTTAAGCCACACCAAGGGATTGTGATCGGTGATGAGAGTGAAAGCCCGGCCATAAAGGTAAGGTGTGAGCTTTTTGAGTGCCCATACCAAGGCCAAACACTCTTTTTCAATGGTGGCATAACTGACCTCCCTTGGCAACAGCTTCCGACTCAAGTATGCCACCGGGTGCTCTCCTCCATCCTCTCCGATCTGGCTTAGTACTGCCCCCAGTCCAAACATTGAAGCGTCTGTGTGGACAATAAATATTTTGTTAGGATCTGGGGTAACCAACACTGGAGCATTAACCAGAGCAGTCTTTAGTGCTTGGAAAGCCACCTCGCATTCCGGGGACCACAGGACTTGTCGGGGTAGCTTCTTTTTGGTCGTCGGTCAGGGGTTTGGCCAGGGCGCTATAGTCGGGTACAAAGCGTCTGTAATAGCCGGCTGTGCCCAAGAAAGCCATGACTTGTGTCTTGGTGTGGGAGTGGGCCAATTGGCAACGGCCTCGATCTTACCCGGCTCCGGCCGTTGCTTACCACATCCTACTCGGTGGCCCAAATATTGTACCTTCGCCATACCCAAATGACATTTGTCGGGTTTCAGGGTCAGCCCGGCCCACCTGATCCTATCTAATACTACCCCTACGTGCTCTAGGTGCATGTGAAGCTCTGGAGACCCCCAAGTAACTGGTCCACCATCCGTTGGAAGGTGGCCGGGGCGTTCTTCATCCCGAACGGCATAACCCGGAATTGGTATAGGCCGAACGGGGTGATGAAGGCCGACTTGGGTATGGCATCTTCTGCTAGGGGAATCTGCCAATATCCCTTGCATAGGTCTATTGTGGTCCGGTACTTCCTTGCAGAGATACGGTCAAGCAGCTCGTCCATCCGTGGCATTGGATAGGCGTCCGTAACCGTCTTGTCGTTGAGGCGCCGGTAATCTACACAGAAGCAGGTTGTCCCATCCTTCTTTGGCACTAAGACTACCGTCGAGGCCCAAGGACTTTCTGAGTGTTCGATTACGCCTAGCCGAAGCATCTCATCTATTTCCTTCCGCATCCCTTCCCGGACTGCTTCTGGAATACGGTAAGGAGGCTGTCTTAGGGGTGCCTGTCCTGGAGTCTCCACCTTGTGTACGGCTAGGAGTGTGTACCCAGGCTCCTGAGAGAATGTGGCCTGTTTCGTTTCTAGTAAGCGGACAGCTTGAGCCCGCTCTTGCGGCTCCAGCTGTTCGCCTAGCTGGATCTGGGTCATCCCTTCATTACTGCCTAATAGGTCGGGAAGGGGTAGTGTTTCTGTGTCTTCCACATCCTACTCGGTGGCCCAAATATTGTACCAAATATTGTACCTTCGCCATACCCAAATGACATTTGTCGGGTTTCAGGGTCAGCCCGGCCCACCTGATCCTATCTAATACTACCCCTACGTGCTCTAGGTGCATGTGAAGCTCTGGAGACCCCCAAGTAACTGGTGCACAGATAGCGGCTACCTCCTCTGCCCGTTCCTGATAGGCCTTGAACATGTTGATGTGAAAGGTTCGTTTCACATCTTCATCCTCGCAGCTGGCTATCGTGTAGGTAGTGTTGCATATCTGTCCTATAACTTTATAGGGGCCCTGCCAGGCGGCCTGGAGCTTGTCTGTTCGGACCGGCCTTAACACCATGACCTTCTGGCCTATCTGAAAGCTCCGGTGCCTAGCCCGTCGGTCATACCATACCTTCTGGCGCTGCTGGGCCTCCTGGAGGTTCTCTCGCACTGTCTGGGCTAATTCCTCCATGCGGTCCCTCAGCTCCAGGACATAAGGTACAACTGGGGTCCCCTCAATTTCTGTTTGCCCTTCCCAGTGATCCTTGATGAGATCTAAGGGCCCCCTCACCCGTCTCCCATAGAGAAGTTCGAAGGGTGAGAATCCGGTCGATTCCTGCGGCACCTCTCGGTAGGCAAAGAGAAGGTGTGGCAGGAATCGCTCCCAATCCTTGTACGCCCCCGTGAACGACTTCAACATTTGCTTCAGCGTTCCGTTGAAGCGCTCGCACAGGCCGTTAGTCTGGGGGTGGTATGGGGAGCTAGTCAGGGATTTAACTCCACAGGTTTTCCATATCTGCTGGGTTACCTCGGCCGTGAGTTGTGTACCTTGGTCGGACAGAACCTCCTTGGGAAAGCCTACTCGGGAAAATATTTTAACTAGGGCCTCTGCCACGGTCTCAGCCTGTATGCTAGAGAGAGCTACCGCTTCGGGGTAACGGGTGGCTTAGTCTACTACGGTGAGTATATAACGCTTGCCGCAACGGCTAGGTTGGGCCAGGTGCCCTATAATGTCCACGGCTACCCTTGTGAACGGTTCTTCAATAATGGGCATGGAAACTAGTTTAGCCTTTGGGTGGTCTCCCTTTTTACCTATACGTTGGCATACCTCGCACGTTTGACAATACGCCCTGACGTCATCGGATACCCCAGGCCAGAAAAAGTTCTGGGTTATCCGATACCCCGTCTTGCGTATTCCCAAATGGCCTGCCAAGGGTACATCATGCCCAATCCTCAATAACTCCTGCCGGTACTTCCAGGGAACTACCAGCTGGCGTTTTTGCTTGGTGCATTACCCCGGGTCTCAGTGAGCCTGTACAAGCGGCCTTTCTCCCAGATAAATTGCTCTTTCTCTAACCCCTCTTGGCCCCTCCTGGCTTTCTCTCGATACTTTCTGAGGGAAGGGTCTCCGGTCACCTCCCGCCCAAAGTCCTCTGGGGTGTCCCAGGGTAGGGGTTCTACAGTCAAGGGTAGGTTGGGTTGGCTTACCTGGGTCTCAGTAGGAAGCGGATGGCTCTCGGCAGCGCGACTTTGTGCTCTGGTGGTTACTGCGTGGGCCTCCTGAGCGGTGGTAGAGGCGAACGCCGAAGTCAGGGGGCCAATGTCGTTGCCCAAGATGACTTCAGAAGGTAAGTCTTTCATGACGCCCACATGAACATTGCCAGCTCCCGCACCCAAGTCCAGGTGTACCTGTGCAGTAGGAATACGGTATACTGCCCCCCCTGCCACTCTCACAGCAATTGATTTCCCCGGTTTCTCTGATGCATTAATAAGGTGTCTTTGTACCAACGTGATGGTCGCCCCACTGTCTCTTAATCCCCGGGCGGTTTTGCCGTTAACCATGACCAGCTGACAATGGTGTTTCCGATTGTCCGTAATAACAGATTTACCATGAGGGCTTCGTAAAGGGTGCCCAATGGTTCTTCCTGACCCAGCTCCTGGGGATACCAAGCCGAGTCTACACAATGGGCTGCTGCTGGTGGGCGGTATCCAGGTCGAGACCAATTTGACCTGGTGTTGTTGTCCATGGGGCAATTCTGCTTGAAGTGACCCAGCTGTTTGCACCAGAAGCAGCGTTGTTCATTGTCCTCCTGGCGTGGATAGCGAGGGCTAGATGTCACCGGTCTGTTAGGAGGTTGGTATCTAGCGGCTGGTGGGTTTGAGGGCACCGTTGGTCGTGGAGGTTGTACCCATGGTGTGACCTGGTTCGTCTTGCGAGTATCCGCATATTCATCTGCCAACTTAGCGGCCTCTGGTAGAGTCATGGGCCTGCGATCTCTCACCCAGTCTTTGACATCCGTCTGGATGTGATTGTAAAATTGCTCCAGGAGCATTAGTTGCAGAATGTCCTCTGCGGTGGTGGCCTGGCTGCTGTTAACCCAGTTAGAGGCCGACAGGGATAACTGGAATGCCCATTCCACGTAAGAGTCTTTCGTGGTTTTGCGTGAGTCCCTGAACTTCTTTCGGTAGGACTCTGGGGTTACTGCATAACGAGCCAGGAGCACTTCTTTAACCCTGGTGTAGCTATGGATCTCCTGCTCTGGCATGGTCCGGAAAGCATCAGAAGCTTTGCCTGACAGTTTGCCTGACAATATTGAAACCCACTCTCCCCTAGCTATTCGGTGCAGGTTACATTGTCGCTCAAAATCTGCCAGGTAGTTATCAATTTCACAGTCTTTTTCATCAAAAGCTTTAAAAGCGCTAAACGGAATCTTCCTTGTGTCTGCTGTGCTGTACTCACTGTTTGGAGAATGTGCGGCTGCTTGTTGGACTGCTGCCAGTTTTAACTGTAGCTCTGCGTCTCTTATTTGTTTAGCCTCCTCCGCTAACAGGTTCATCACTTTCAGCACCACATCCGCCGTTGTGTTCGGACCGAACCATTACCTTGTTGGCTGGTGATTCCTTCTCCTGAATCACTGGTGTCTCCATCTCTTGTACTGCTGGCATTGCTGCAACCAAGTTCTCCTGGTCTAGCTCCATTAATTCTGCTATGATGACCCGCTTGGTTTTGTTGCTAGCAATCCTTCCACGAACTTCCAGTAGTTCTTTCAGTGTATTTCTTTTAAGCAGGGTGTCCCAGCCTTCCATTCACTGTTCCCAGTGTCTGCTTGGAATCCTGGTGTAAAGGAAAGTAGAAGGGAAAATCCTGCCGCTGCCAACCAGTTGTGACGGTAGTAGAAAATATCCCCGTCAAGCATTCCCTTCTTCCCATAAAAGAAAAGCACTCAATATTCCATAAGCAGAAATATCCCTGGAATCGCCGAATAATCCACACATGAGCCAAAGCTTAATGCTGGAACAAGACTGATTTACTGGCACACAGAACTCACAATTTATGCAACACAAAACTCCTCCTCCGGGCCAGGCTAGATAATTGAGTTTCTACAATACACAAAGCTCAATTATCTGCTGGCCAGAAACATTACGATTTATGACAATTTCAGAAACATACTTTTTATAAGACATACAAATAAACTTTTAACATCCCTGGATAGCTGAGGATACTGGTAGTCACATATCCAAATCTCACGAATTTCCGTTCGGTAGTCTCCGTGTCGCATCATGTGGAAGTTTGACCGGCTTGCCATGTGGAGGTATCCGAGTTACAGTTCCATAGAATCAGTAGCAAGAGCCGGTCTCCGTTCGCATCTAACTACATGAAAACCACCGTTCGTATGGTTCAGCTGGTTACTTGTGAATGTTCCCCTCATTCGGTAGATACTATCTACCGAACGCCAGTTTGATTCGTGAAGGGGAACGTATTCATCCAGGACTTCCATGGGGACCGGGCGTTCGCATGGTTCCCGTACCGAAAACAGTTCCATGCAATTCATGCATAAGCCCCGCAGACCGCATTCGTGAGTTTTAAGATGGCCGCCATCCTTTGTTCTCGCCACGTGTTCGTATGTCAAAGGGCGGCCACCTAGTAGCAATTAAGTTGCGGTTTTCTCTGTGTTCTAATTGCTACTTGCTACCCAGGGTGTGTGGTCCCCGTTCGGTACACGAATACATTCATTCTCAACAGTTTGAACCGAACAATATAGACATTAAAATAGCAGGGAGAGGATTAAACTGAAGCATATAGGCAAATACATAAAAGTCCTTCACATGTGCCCTCGATATTCTTCTCTTATTAAAGTCAACCAGAGACTATAAAAGGTTAATAACAACCGACAAAGCTCTATGTGCGTAGAAACTAACCTGAATCAAGAAACTTAAGCGGACATGTAAAAAAAAAACTTCAACTAAACCGAAAAAGAGAACTGCACTCCAAAGGAAATAAAAACAAAACAAACAAAAAAAATCTAAAAACCTATTGTTGTGTGAAATATATAATAAAAGGAAAATGAGATTCTTCCATGTCCACTGTTGGTTGAAAAGTGATAAAGTGAATAGACTCCACCACTGTAACTAGGGGTCTGAGCCCTAAACGCATGAAAATCAATAAATGGAATATGGTAAAACACCAAAGAACAAATAATTCCTAAAATGTAGCTTTTATTAGGTATAATTAAAAATATCCCAACAGGGACATATTAAAGTACACCGAGTACGTGTATACTCCAAGCTAGTAGGAGGATATACATGTGAAAAAAGGAGAAAGTACCCCAAGTATCAAGATACCTTATTCTAAAGAGCAAAGTGCTACTTGTATTTATTGCTCTATAACCTGCAAAAAAAAAAAAGCTAAGAACATGTTAACATTGGGTATTTCTAAACTCGGGACAAAATTTAGAAACTATTTAGCATGGGTGTTTTTTGGCAGTTGTAGATGCGTAACAGATTTTGGGGTTCAAAGTTAGAAAAAGTGTGTTTAAAAAAAAAAAAGTTTTCATCATAATATAATTTGTTTTTATTGTAAATTATATGATATGATAAATTGTTTTTTTTTAGAAGGACCATTTAATAGCGAGAAAAAATGTATATCATATGTGTGGGTACAGTAAATAAGTAAGAGGAAAATTACAGCTAAACACAAACACAGCAGAAATGTAAAAAGAGCCCTGGTCTTTAACGGTAAGTTGGAAAACGGTCTGGTCACTAAGGGGATCATCACGTAAGCCGCATCATTAAGCTATGGTTGTTTTGATTATAGTGTTCCCTTAAATATCAATTGATACACCAAAACACACTGGCATGTTCAAAAGGCATGTTCTAAATTCTAACCAGTCTAACATTGTCATACCTTCCGATCCAGTCATTCATATTTACTGAGAGAATTGTACATAAGCTCATCTGTCACTATTCACTATATAGTGCAAAGAGAATGCAGGAAATGAATATCAAATTGCTATACACTACTGTTTGCATCATCTCACAATGCTACCCTACACCTCGCAGCTAGTGTTATTATGGGTGTGGCCGGAGCCTCAAGTCGTGTTACTGGATAAATCCCCCATCTCCCAGTATTGGTCAATATGGTTAGAGGCCCACGCCAGCCAGGTGTCATTCTGACTCATTATATCACAATTCTAGAGAGAAGCCCCCCATTTCCCAGTATTGGTTGGTATAGTTATAGGCCGGTGCCTATTGAAGTCCCGAGCGCGCAGCCCAGACACCCCATCGGCAGAGAGACCCCAGGCACTTCATCTTCCACACGGCAGGACAACTGAGAAGGAACTACTAGGATCTGCATATGAAGAAAAGGCTCACCTATAGGCTTGATTAAGCCATTACACTTCCCAAACTGCAGTTCATCCAGGACTTTCTTCATCAGCAAGAGTGGTGAAATCCATCCAATGCCATCCATCAGTTGATACCCATTTTAGTGTGTGCACACTGGGACTGTATATAAATTTTTTCATATTTTGCCATTATTTTTTGAATTTTACTTTATTTTTTAATCTTTTCAATTTTTTTCATATTTTGCCAACATTTTTCTGCCAAATAGATATCCATTGTAGATTACCCATTGGGCTCTCATCCATTTAGTGTGTATTTACACCATTACTACTGACACAGTGTCAGATCCGATAGGGGTCTTTTTTTAAACTTGTGGTGTTTAGGTACCTAAACGCCCTTGATAAAGGCATCCAGGAGGTGCCGAAAAGTTGGGGGGTTCTTTGTATTCATGATTCTGCCCTATCGGATTGTGGTAAATATTTGCTGTAGATTTTTTTGTTTTGCCTGTTTACTATCACTTTATTTGTGTTATATTTAAATCATATTGGTAAATCAGATATTTGCTTATTAAACCAAGATATTAATTCTGTATTTTTTTTTTTTGGTGTGCATTCTCTGTTCATGTATGTACTGATTGTTTTGGTATTTGAGAGAGTACGATTTGTGAATAGCACCCAAGCATTTTTGTTTACATTATATAGTCTCTCCATATTTTGTGTAAAGGATTTCCCTGTATTCACCTGTGTTCATTCGGTTGTGTCCTCTCCCTGCTCTTTCACTACCTTTGAACGTTGCGTTTTAATTATGTGCCCGGGAAATGTATTCGTTCTACTGAACGGAGACCACCCTGGTTAGCAATCAGAATTTGGAACACCGAGTAATCACACGAAAAACTGCAACTTAATTGAGTGCTCCGAGGTGGCCGCCATTCGGCATACGAACACGGGGCGAGAACAAAGGATGGCGGCCATTTTAAATCTCCCGAATGCGGCCAGCGGGACTTACTCGTGGATTGCCTGGAACTGTTTTCGGCATGGCAATCACATGAACGTCCTGTCATTATGGAAGTCCCGTCTGACCTATTTCCACTCATAGTATCAAACCGGCGTTCGGGAGTTTTAATCTACTGAATGAGGGGAACACACTGTAACCAGCCGCAACATATCTATGGTAGTTTTCGTGTAATTCTGCGCGAACGGAGACCGGCTCTTGCCACTGATTTCATGGAACTCTAAATCGGATACCACCACATGGCGAGCCGGTCAAACTTCCACACGATGCAACACGGAAACTACTGACCGGATTTTCGTGAAATTTGGATATGTGACTCCCAGTATCCTCAGCTACCCAGGGATGTGGGTTATATATTTCTATGTTATGCAGAAAGTATTTTTCTAAAAATGTTGAAAATTGTAATGTTTCTGGCCAGCAGATAATTGAGTTTAGTATGTTGCTGAAACTCAATTATCTAGCCTGGCCCAGAGGAGGAGTCTGTTACTGTATAAATTGAATGCCTGTTGCTTCCAGTAAATCAGTCTTGTTCCAGCATTAAGCTTTGGCTCATGTGTGGATTATTTGGCGATACCAGCGATATTTATTCCTGTGGATTATTGTTACTATTCTGCTACTGGGAAAAAGGGAATACTGGATGATGATACAGTTTACTACCGTCACACTTTGTATACTATATATCACCTAGGTGTTACCTGGTTGTGATTATATAGGTAAAATGCAATAAGATATTTACTATACATCATACATTGCCATGATTCTATATTCCATATTGATTTTGAAAAACACATATTTGAGTGCGGTATCATATGTTTTAGTATATATGAAGGTAACAATTGTGGGCTACCTTGATACCCAGCACCGTTTAAGGATAGAAGAGTGCCTGTACATATTGCATCTCTTTAGGTGTCATTCTAACTCATTATATCTCAGATTTAGAGAGAAGCCCCCCATTTCCCAGTATTGGTCGGTATGGTATAGGCCTGCGCCAGCCTGGTGTCATTCTAACTCATATTGGTCGGTATGGTTAGAGGCCCGCACCAGCCTGGTGTCATTCTAATTCATTATATCTCAGATCTAGAGAGAAGCTCCCCATCTCCTAGTATGGGTCGGTATGGTTATAGTCCCGTGCCACCCTGGTGTCATTCTAACTCATATCTCAGATTTAGAGAGAAACTCCCCATCTCCCAGTATTGGTCGGTATGGTTAGAGGCCCGTGCCAGCCAGGTGTCATTCTAACTCATTATATCTCAGATTTAGAGAGAAACTCCCCATCTCCCAGTATTGGTCGGTATGGTTAGAGGCCCGTGCCAGCCAGGTGTCATTCTAACTCATATCTCAGATTTAGAGAGAAGCTCCCGATCTCCCAGTATTGGTCGGTATGCTTAGAGGCCTGCGCCAGCCTGGTGCCATTCTAACTCGTTATATCTCAGATTTAGAGAGAAGCTCCCCATCTCCCAGTATTGGTCGGTATGGTTATAGTCCCATGCCAGCCAGGTGTCATTCTAACTCATATCTCAGATCTAGAGAAAAGCTCCCCATCTCCCAGTATTGGTCGGTATGGTTATAGTCCCGTGCCAGCCAGGTGTCATTCTAACTCGTTATATCTCAGATTTAGAGAGAAGCTCCCCATCTCCCAGTATTGGTCGGTATGGTTAGAGGCCTGCGCCAGCCTGGTGTCATTCTAACTCATTATATCTCGGATCTAGAGAGAAGGCTCCCCTTTAACACTCACCCTTGGGTTACTCTAATAAAATACGCATCTAATGCTGGGGTAGCATTCAGTCTGTGTAACACTTAGGAAGAGATTGAATAATAGAATGATGCAGACACAGAGTGTGGCGAAACCAACCTCGCCACTGTGAACTGGAGAAGCCTGGTTGCTCGTCTGCTCCCTTTGGACTATGGCCCTGCAGGTTAAACCGTTTATTTCCCCTGCAGAAAGGCTTATTTGTGTGATCTGAGTGCCATTCATCTAATAATGTGCACTCAGATCCCAGCTATCTGGGGATATGTGAAATGTCTGTGTGTTATGTGTAAATGTGACTTTATGTATTTTAAAGTGTTTTGTGTCTTTTGCAACCATGTGCTTAATGGAGTCTTGTGTCTGTCCTGGGAGATAATTGAATTACTTATCTCCAGGATAGAAGACTCTGAAACTGGTTTGGGCCAGAAAGCCATGCTTCATTTAGTCACAAAGGACTTTTTACTAACTTTTGAACCCCTTGTCTGATTTGTGCCATTTTTGAATATGTTGTTCCCCTGAATGGATTGATTGTGAATATGTAATTTTATGTGAATGTGATGTATGGTTTTGGAGTTATGAAAGTTGGGTAGAAAGTATGTTTTAACTGTATGTATAATTGAGTTTCCTCTCAGGATAAGGGGAGGGAATATGTGGGATGTAACTGTGATGTGATTGGTTGTTTTGTAACGCCCTGTGGGCTGTACTATGTTTGTGGATTGGGAATAAAAGAGACTGTATGTGACAGTACAGAGAGTTCCTGTTTTAACCCTCAAAGTGAAGTGTCGTCTCATTATTGGGGAAGGATTTATTGTATGCTGTTCCAGTTTGACTGCTAGGAGAGCAAACCTATTCATATGGTTCCTATTCAACTGTCTACAGCATTCATATGCTTGAGAGCATTCATATGCTCCTACGGTTCGGTGGTTTTGGTGTCTGCTGCAGTGCTTGGAGTCCTCAGGAAGTGCTAGGAGCATCCTTCAACGGAGGTACCCAGTCAGGGTGCCAGGTGATCCGTTACACAGAGTGCCATCTTTATATCACAAAAGAAAAAGCAAAGGTAAAAGGATAATAATTAACGTGTTTTAAACCAATGAACTTGTCATAAAATCCAGAAGTGTTTTTAACAAATGCAAAAAAGAAACCATTTTTTGGTGTGCTCTGCCTAAAATGCAGCCGATTTATCTGGCCGTTCTTAGAAAAGCTGGCTGTGCAGTCAACAGGACAAATGGAAAAATGGTTAAAATATATTTTCATTTATTAGAAAAACAGCCTTCCCAAAGTTACTGATGCAAAATAATAACAAAATACATTGAAATAAATCCCCAAACACATCTGGAATATGATCTCTCTGTGTTTCCGTTCATCAGCCCAATTGATGTTGTGGCAGGAATAATTTGAATACTTTCTTTAATCTGTCATGCCTGATGGATTCACTTTCCATGGTGATGGATCTGAGATGGCAGTGTATATCTGGAATTATAAGCAATTTGTCACAGCTGGAATTATTGGTTATACACTGCAGTCAGTATTGAGCCTATGACTAAGCACTCATTGTGAGAAGAAAACTCGGAAGGCAGTTAGTCAATGTCTAGGTCTTACCATTTCATTAAAATTCCATGTATTTTGTAAATATTGTTGCAACAATATAATTTTTCTAATAAAATAATAGATGTTTGCTCTCCATGATGCTATCCCAGATATGACTGGTTTGTATTGCAAGCTCCTTCACCACATGGCAAGATTTGGCTTGGGTGGAATAAAGTTTTTCTTGCCCAGTTAACTCGTAGATCAACACAATTTATTCACTGTATGGTGTAGCGGTAATTCATATTTTTGCTCCTCTGAAAACAGGAGTCGTTTTGTATTAAGGTGACTATTGTACTGATATGTACCATTGGCAAGGAAAATAATCTGGCATCGCATATATTGTTTTTTTTTTAATAGGTTGACCTAGGGATAATCTCCATCTCTGCGGTTCCGAACATAAAACATGTTCCTTATGCCTTGGTTAATGGCGGTTCGACCTTTTGCTAGAGCTTCATCTGCAATGTCTTTTGGGAAGTAGTCGTGGAAGGCATGCTGAATGGCATGTACCCGCCTTGGACTGAGGGGCAACTTTTGATCTGTGCCATTGAAGTTGTGTCCATAAAGTTCTTCCTCTGTGAATAATAGTTTGGCCAACTGCCAGCCGAATGGCCCTGGGTTGTTGACATCTACCTGTCGTCGAATAGACATAGCTAGGTCCTCATCCACTCTCAGCTCTATGGCTTTGACTGGAACATTAGGTGAACTAATGATTGTCACTGGGCCCTGCCAGTCACAATGAAATCTCTGCTTCCGTCGACGTTTGACCACCGGAAAACAGGGAGGACTGGAGGGGGCATAGCGTATTGGTGGATTGGGAGAAACTATTGGCTGATTGTCATCATCATCATCTTCTTCAATCTCCAACTTCAATGTACGTATGTTATCATCATTCGACAATGTCTCATCCCCTAATCCTGGCTCATCAATGGAGTCTTCAGGTAAGGACATGGCTTGGGGGCTTCGGTCTTCCTGTTTGCTGCAGTTGTTTAGAAACTCAACCACTTCATCCAAGGTGTCAAAACAATAAACTGGTGAAGTCTGTGTTGACACTTCATTGTCTGGAAACCTTGTGCAGAGCTCGTCATCCTGAAGGGTCTCTTGCTTCATGTTTGAGTGGACTTGTGGTGGGCTGTCACATACCTGGAATGAGTCATCTCCATAGCCCAGAATTTTGATCTCCTGGATTTCCTACAATACAATGAGACAGAAACTTATTGGCAGAAATATCTTGTAGAAAAGCAGTCATGCCTTGTATTAGGAGTTATACAGTAAAAATGGTTGTATAAAGGAATAAAGTCTGAACAAGAGGCTAGAATATCTTCTTACAAAATACATATTTTCTAACACTGGATTATAAAGGCTGGGTTGGACTTTAGTAAGAGTGCAACTTGATATCCAATTATAAAATAATATAAAAGACACAAAACAAGGAGCTACATCAAGAACCACAGAGTAGAATGTGGGAGATACTGAGGGCCGCACACTAGAATGTGAAGGATAGTGAGTGACACAGAATAGAACATAAGGGATTGTGAGTTCGGTAGAGTAGAATGTGGGAGATAATGAACGTCACAGAGTGAAATGTGAAGGGCAGCGAGGGCCAAATATCAGAATATCAGAATGTGAGAGATATTAAGGTCAACTAGTAGAATTTGAGGGACAGAGTAGAATGTGAGCGGCAGTGAGGGCCTCAAATCAGAATGTCAGAGGTATGAGAGTCACGAGTAGAATTTGAGGGACAAAGAATGTGAGGGCCACAGTGTGAACTGTGAGGGACAGTGAAAGCCACAGAGTAGAGTGTGAGGGATACTGAAGGCCACAAATTGGATTGTGAAGGCTATTAAGGTCACCAAGTAAATTTGAAGGACAGAGTGGAATGTGAGGGTCACAGAGTAGAAAGTGAGGGACACAGAGTAGAATGTGTGGGTAACAGAGTGGAATGTAAGTGACAGTGAAGGCTACAGAATAAAATGGCAGACCATCAGTTACCTGGTTCTTTGCCAGCATCTTTCTCCTGATGAGGGCTAATGGTTCTTTTTGTTTACTGGAAATAAAAGACAAGTATTGATTTGTGATCAGATCCTGGTTGGTGATAAGAAACAAACTACACTTGATTATATATTTAATACCCTTTCCTCCAATCTTTTGCATTGATCCCCTGCTCATTGATCATGTCTTTATTAAAGACTTCTGCTAAAACAAGCAGCCAATGTTTCATAAAATGAGATTAATATCTGCATGTATGCCACCAAGCAGCGACTAATGTCACATTCCACATTAATGTCCCTTTTACTGAACATACACTCGCTTTCTCTTCTTCCTGCTCTCTATGGAAAAAACTGGTGACTGTACCACAGAGAGCAGGTCGATCTGAATGCACAATGTACTGTCCCAACATAAAGTAAGATAGAGAAGCCATGCAGTGGAACTGTCAGACTTCAGGAGCCATCATGTCTAGTCACCTCTATGGTTTGGGCTGTGAGTTACAATCAACAAGTCATCCAGCTCAGTGTCCATGATACGGGGCTAAGAGTAACAACCAAGCTTCGGCAGTAAGGACCATCCAAAAATGCTCTTATAAAATTAAATGTATTAGTGAAGAGAGAATATTACTTATCTTGCCAATCAGAGGTTGCATTCTCTTACTCTTCATCTACGTGGCAACCATACATGATTACTCACTCAAACACATGATTCATTTTAAAGATTAGAGTCCTTGGCTCAAATGAGAATTCATCTTAAACTATATTTACAGGGGGTGAAACCGGTGTTGTATACACACTGTCCTTAAGTAACAGAATCTTGTACATATCTATTGAAGATCGTTAAAGACAATGATTATTAGTCCACCGAGGATGTAGTACAGGTTAATGGTCCTCGGTCATTTGAGGAGCCCTCAGGTTTGGGAGGAAAGAAAAAGAGGGTCAGGTTTATAAGAAATAGCACAGACGCACCTTTTCCTGGTGAGAGGCACTTTCGGTATGGTGACTCGAACTATTGATGGTGGAGATGATTCTTCTGTGTCCTGAAAAACAAAAATAGTTCTAGATAAATGGAATGCGCTCGTAAATGAAATTAATTTGTGGAGCTCTTTCAAGATCAGCAGTCAGATAATGCGATTTCCATACATTTATTGCTCCCATCAATTTACACTGAATGAATAGGGAGGACCTACTCGTTTCATGCCTCTTAGTGATGTCACATTATGACTGAACATCAGTTGTCTTGATGCTTGACTGCAAGTTCTTTGGGTCAGCGTTATGCAAGTGCCTGCATTAAGAAGACTTTTTCTGGATAGATTATCCAATACAAATAAGATTTGAAGTTTCTTGTTAATGTAAATGCAGATATTTTATTAAAATATTGAATACTGAGGAACATTTGCCTGGGTTGCTCAATATATTGTCCATGGAGAAATATGTGACAGCCTTGGTTTGTTGAGCTGTATTGTTCTAAGTATCTGTTTGTAGTCTCCAAGCAAGGTTTTTAACAGAGAATATTTATTGGAGTATGATAGTCTGGAGGACCTTTCATGTTTATTTACTAAACTTCCAATTTCAGAAATAAGGCCTCGATTTAATTACGCTGGATATGCTTTTCAAATGTTTGTTTTTTTTCAAAATATAAAAAAATAAAAAATATATTCACATGTAAAAAAATATCAAAATATTTGATAAAAAGGTTTATCCCACAATATTAAATAATTTGAAAAACATATCCAAAAATATTAAATCGAGGACTAAATCTGAAGGCAAAACTGAGAAGAAAACGTCTGCTATACCAGTGGGAGGTAGCGGGGGAATCCCCGATTCTATTATCTGGCTCAGCTCACCGGTTCTCATGGAAGTTCGGAGCCTGACTCTCATCCCTCAGCTGCCGGACTCTGTGATACCCCTGGTTGGTGTTGGTTAGTCTGAGTGTCGCACTGCATTAGGAAGTACTCTAGGCCCTTCATTGTCACATTTTGTCTCAGTCGTATTGTGTTATCTCCAGCCTAGAACTTACTTGCCTTTCTCCCCATGCAACCAGCACAGGGCCTCCTCGGTATTATTCATTCTGTCATCTGACATGTTGTTATAGGCTTGTTCTTATTACGATTATAAAAATGGTGCAGCTTGCTTGTCATGTATGTACTGAAACCTGATCACTTTTACTGATAATATGTCATAACTGTCACTAAGTTGTACTTTTCATGCACAACAAAAATAAAGAATTAAAAAGAATAAAAATCTGCTATGGTTGACTTGGATAAAGTTTAATGTAAGGCCCTGAGGATACATTTATTATTTCCAGATCCAAATCTGACCACAAGAGGGCGACTAAGTGGTCTTCCGCAATCAGGGTTATTTAATAAGTGGAAATAGTCAGGAATTCAAAGTAAAAACTGAAATTTTATTAAATTGTATAATTCATCCTGTGGTCCTCCATCCGGTAACTCCAGCTTCCAGTGGTCATATTGCTGGCTCCCCTCCCGTCATTTACCAAAATTAACCCCGCCAGTGCTGGAACCTATTCATTATTACCATCAGCACTTACCTGAACTGCCATCTTGACGCTGGTGTTTTTCCGAGGGGCTCTCCCCACACTTGACATTTTGTGAGGGGGGATTGTCCTTCACAGGAAAACGCTTTCTCCACGCTGGGGTCCCGGACACTAAGAACAGACAATAAAGATAATTTAAATAATTTGGATGGAAAATGACAAAATGTCAGAGAATCGGTGCTGGTTAAACTGCTGCCAAGAGACAATGAATCCTGTGTGTAAAATTACATTCTATTCCTAAATGTGTATAAATAGACATAGACAGACAGCACCAGTACCAACAATCCTGATATTGTCAGGGCAGTCCCACATTTTGGGGATCTGTTCTACATTCTCAAATCTGTCCAGCAGGACGCAGGAGAGGACAGGGTCCAAAGAGGGCTTCAGCTGAACTCTGTGCATTGTCTGCTTCGGGAGGCTGTCTGGCCACCTACTTTAGGGGCATCAGGACCCTTTCATAGTCCGACCAAACCCCTTTAACCAGCAGATACACCCATTTTCACAGGTAGACTGACACGCCCATTTCACAGGTGGAAATGCCTATTTCACAGGTAGACTCGCCCATTTCACAGGTAGACTGACTCGCCCATTTCACAGGTAGACTCGCCCATTTCACAGGTAGACTCGCGCATTTCACACTGCCTGTGTCCTGGCAGGTGTGCAGTAAGTAACAATGCTGTCATTTAGAAAGGATTTATAAACCAAACACGTTTTACACGTTTTTACACGATTATCACTGTTACAATTTGTCAGGAATTCAGTAAGTTTCAATCTTTAGGTCAAATTAGCTAATAAACAGAACCAAGTTGGAGAATTGTCTGTTGCCTAAAATGTGAAAATCACTTTAAATTTTGGTGAATTTTCACTCCCGTGAATAGCCTTCCGTGACCTAGGGCAAGACTGGCTCCCACGCCAGTACAGGTAAGACATCACCCATAGCACAGCCAGTATTCATTTATTGACATCTTCCACCAAGTCTTTATTTCAATTAATGATCTAATTATAGTCTGTTAATATTGCAGGAACAATCCTTCCTTTGTTTTAATTCAGTTTTTGCCAAATGTCAGCGATTTGTTAAAGTACAGATTCCATTAAAAAATTAAACTCAATTTCTTCTTAACCCTTTGAGTGTCAGAGTGGTGCCAATTGATTGGCTATGCCTACTGCGTTTACAGAATGAAAAGCCCTCCACATCCCGCCCAACGCTCTGTGTTCGTTAGTGCTCACTTTCCCCCGAATTTCCATACTTTGCATATCATTAAATAATTAACAGTTTGATTGACCAATGGTCCAGCCCAGTGATATACCGCTGCATGCACGCAGGAAGCCATCAGATCCCACAGGACTGGGAACCCTTTAAGGCAGGGGTTAATCCTTTGGGCATATTTATAAAGAATGCATCGTGCAGGGCAGTAATAATTTATACATAGAAGGTGTACGAGGCTGCCTTGCATTGATTATAAATGCCTGCACTTTATTAAGTGCTATTCTCGCTCCCTGCCACACTCAGATAATACGTGCTCTGCTGGAGTTGTGGTGAGTTGACTTGTGACATTGAGACAAACTTAGCTGAGTTGATTTCAAATCCCCAGCTTGGCCAGTGTGAGGATTAGAAGTGCGCAGGTCCAGTACGCTGCGTCCATGTTGGATGTGGTTGCTAGACTGGCACTGACATCAAACAGATGCCATTCATTGTACAGCGCTACTGAATTTGCTGGAGCTATATAAATAATAAAATGATAATTATCCAGATTCCAAGCAGTCTAGCATGCAGAGCCCGCTGCAGCACAAAGCTCTGCAGGTCTCAGCGCTGTGGCTCTGCGAATCCCCCTGTGCTGTCTTCACGTCCCCCCAGCTGCCCCTCTCCAGTTACAGCCTGTCCCCGGCCAGCGAGGTCGTGTGAGGACACGAGCTCAACAAATAATGGCAGCAAAACAGAAACAAGCGGCAGCTGAGCATGAGCTGCACGCCTCCCCCTGCGCTGTTCCTCCACCCTCCTCACATGCAGATCATTTCCTGCCCAGGTCTGACAATGCAGAGCATTGAGGTCGCAGAGCATTTCCTGTATGTTTACACACGCTGGCACACGCAGACCCCTTTACTGGCACCCCAATGTGCCACCTCTTCATGACGGAACTCCCTGCAGTGGCACAGCTGGGGGGAAACCTTGGATCCCTGCAGTGTATATTTACCCCGTCCAGGGCCCGGGCACTGGGCATTCACTGCCGCTCGCTCGGTGTCTCTCTGAATCTGCTGCCTGTGAATACAGAGAGTGCAGCTAAATGGTGGGGGAGAGGATCAAGGGGGGTGAAAGCTGAGAACAGACAGGGCAGGCTGGGGGAGGGGAGGCATGTCAGCATGAATGTGTAATCACACTGCGTTGTTAACTCATTGGGAGGAGGAGGCGGGCCGGAGCATGCAGCTGTCCTGCTCGTCCACTGCAGGACTAGGGACCTGCTTGCTAAAGGGTTAATCCTCCCATCCGCCAGGAGCATTCCGAGCAACTCTGGCCAGAGACTCGTGTACTGGAACCAGTTAGCAATGCGTTACTGCTTCCTTCCCACGGACAGAAACTAGGCCACTGCCACCAAACACGCAGTCACCCCTTAATCTCTCGCTCGGCTTTCACACCCTCCCGAGGCGTCCAATTCAGGGATAAAGGGTGATTGCCTTTATCCTTGAGGGAAACCTCAGTACCGTTATATAAATATTTATCCAAATGGTGTGCGGGTTACCAGGACGTGGGTATAACATCTACCGTCTACTATTACTAAATAATAACGTGGTGCATAGCGTGGGTATACTATCTCCCGTCTACTATTACTAAATAATAGCGTGGGTATAACATCTCCCGTCTACTATTACTAAATAATAACGTGGTGTATAGCGTGGGTATACCATCTCCCGTCTACTATTACTAAATAATAACGTGGTGCATAGCGTGGGTATACCATCTCCCATCTACTATTACTATATAATAACGTGGTACATAGCGTGGGTATACCATCCTCCGTCTACTATTACTATATAATAACATTATGCATAGCATGGGTATACATCCCCATCTACTATGTAATATCGTGGTTCGTAGCATGGGTATACCATCTCCCGTCTACTATTACTAAATAATAACGTGGTAAATAGCGTGGGTATACTATCCCCATCTACTATTACTAAATAATAACGTGGTGCATAGCGTGGGTATACTATCTCCCATCTACTATTACTATATAATAACGTGGTACATAGCGTGGGTATACCATCCTCCGTCTACTATTACTATATAATAACATTACGCATAGCGTGGGTATACCATCCTCCATCTACTATTACTATATAATAATGTGGCACATAGTGTGGTTATACCATTCTCTGTCTACTATTACTAAATAATAACGTGGTACATAGCGTGGGTATACAATCCTCCATCTACAATTACTATATAATAACGTGCTACATAGCGTGGGTATACCATCCCCTGTCTACTATTACTATATTATAACATGGTACATAGTGTGGTTATACCATCCTCCATCTATTATTACTATATAATAACATGGTGAATAGTGTGGGTATAGCATCCTCCATCTATTATTACTATATAATAACGTGGTACATAGCGTGGATATACCATCCTCCGTCTACTATTACTATATAACAACATTATGCATAGCGTGGGTATACCATCCTCCATCTACTATTACTATATAATAACGTGGCATGGTTATACCATTCTCCGTCTGCTATTACTAAATAATAACGTGGTATATAGCGTGGGTATACCATCCTTTATCTACTATTACTATATAATAACGTGGTGCATAGTGTGGGTATACCATCCTCCGTCTACTATTACTATATAATAACGTTCTTCGTTGCGTGGGTTTACCATCCCCTGTCTACTATTACTATATTATAACATGGTACATAGTGTGGGTATACCATCCTCCATCTATTATTACTATATAATAACGTGGTATGAAGCGTGGGTATACCATCCCCTGTCTACTATTACTATATAATAACATGGCACATAGTGTGGTTATACCATTCTCCACCTACCATTACTATATAATAACGTGGTATGAAGTGTGGGTATACCATCCCCGTCTACTATTACTAAATAATAACGTGCTACATAGCGTGGGTATACCATCCCCTGTCTACTATTACTATATAATAACTTGGTACATAGTGTGGGTATACCATCCCTCATCTACTATTACTATATTACTATATAATAACATGGTGCATAGCGTGGATATACCATTCCCCGTCCTATGTATAGCCCTGTTTATGAATAGCCCAGTTTATGAATAGATTTCCAGATAATGGTTTGTACTGGCCCCGAATATATACCATTATCTGGAAATCTATTCATAAACAGGGCTATACACGAGATCACACATTTAGGCTGGAAGAAAGGAGATATCATCTAAGGCAAAGAAAAGGGTTTTTTACAGTAAGAGCAATAAGGATATGGAATTCTCTGCCTGAAGAGGTGGTTTTATCAGAGTCTATACAGATGTTTAAACTGCAATTGGATAAATACTTGCATTACAGGGATATAATTTCTATTCAGTGGGGTAATAACCGCTTGATCCAAAGAGATATCTGACTGCTATTTTGGGGTCAAGAAGGATTTTTTTCCTAGTTTGTAGCAAAATTGGTAGCGCTTCAGACTGGGTTTTTTGCCTTCTTTTGGATCAAGAGCAAAAACATATGTGAGGAAGGCTGAACTTGATGGACGCAAGTCTCTTTTCAGCTATGTAACTATGTAACTATATAATAACGTGGTACATAGCGTAAGTGTACCATCCCCTGTCTACTATTACTATAAAATAACATGGTGCATAGCGTGGGTATACCATCCTCCGTCTATACCCAGTCACTATTACTATATAATAACATCGTGCATAGTGTTGGTATACCATTCTCCGTCTGTACCCAGTCTTCACCGTTGGTTTTAACTCTCAGCCAATTAGCTGGCTCTTCACCCCTGGGCTTAAATCTCAGCCAATGAGCTGGCTCTTTACTGCTGGGCTCAACTATTAGCCAATGAGCCTGCTGTTAAGAACCCTCCGTCAATCGATGCTCCTAGTGCTTACCAAGGACCATCAGCACCGCACCGGATACCATAAGCACTGCAGACCCCACGAACCGCCGCAGCTTGGTTGGGGTCTCGCCGTCTCCTTCCCACCCTGGACCTATGACAAGGCACCAGGTTCCAGTGGGTGAACTCTTCCTTCAGAGAGTTAAGCAGGAACAGCTCTTAAAAGAGCTTAGTGATTATAGCCAGGGGAGTATACAGCGTATAGCAATCTCCAGTGTAGATGCAGCCTTTTCCCCCACCCTTCATGAAGTTTTGGCTCACTCTGGGGATTGCTATAATCACTATACTCCCCAGAGTATAATCACTAAGCTCTTGTAAGAGCTTGTTCCTGTTCCTGCTCTCTGGATTAAGAGAGGTCTACCTACTGGAAGCTGGATCCTGGTCTTGGGTCCTGAGTGGGCTGAAGACGGCGAGACCTCAACCAAGCTGCAGTGGTTTGTGGGGTCTGCGGTGGTTATGGTGTCTAGTGGAGTGCTTGGAGCCCTCGGGAAGCACCAGGAGCATCCGTCAACGAAGGTACCCAGTCGGGGTGCTAGGCGATCTGTTACACCTGCACTTCAGCACCTGGCTTAACTCTCAGCCAATGAACTGGCTCTTTTCAGCTGAGCTTAACTATCAGCCAATGAACTGGCTCTTCATCGCCGGGTTTAACTATCAACCAATGAGTTGGCTCTTTTCTGCTGGGGTTAAATAATGGGAGCTACTAGCAGCAGTTTCTGACTTTGAGACCAGAAAGGAAGGGGCAGGAAATGGACACCAGGATTAAAGTCATAACTTTCATTTGGAAATGTAGTAGTTATAGTTGTAGCGGGACCTGGGTAACCCGGCTGGTTACCCCCTGCTATTAATATATTAAGAAACCCATTTCCCCCAGTAACAGTTCCAGGGGTACAACGTTTGACAATCTTTATTTGGGCACACAGCTTTTTATGCAGAGACCCGCGCAGGGGGTCTCTATACAACACAATCCCAGGCAGGAGGAGGCTGGGTTACAGATGACCATCTCCAACTCTGGGAGATACCAATAGTACGCAGGGACACACATGAAAACACATTACATACAGGGGCTTGGCACCCTGGGAAAGGAAGGGAGTACAGGGTTAAAACTTATATTGATAAATAGCCCCGGGTCCCACCTGGGATCCCTGCAAAAAGCATGGTGATCGGAAGTACAGAGTCTGAGATATCAGCATCCAAAGTCTGGGGCTAGAGGCTCTGTACATCCCCGAAATTAGTTACATGGCGTTGCTTGCTTTAGTCCGGCGAATTCAAACTTCGCGCCCAAACCAAGCAACAACCAATCAGCTTAAAGGGCGTGAACCAAATCGCGCCAATCAGCACTCGGAGAGGAAGGCATTTCGCCACCCAATCTGAAGAAAGGAAGCGAAACTCGGTTGAATCAATCGGTGCTCGGGGAAGAGAAGGGTTTCGCCACCCAATCTGGAGGAAGGAACATTTGAACGGGCGCTTCTGGTCTGATTGGTCGCTGGCTACTTTACCCAGTTTGAATGGACGCTCCTTCTCCCATTGGTTGGCACAGACTTCCACATGGCCACCGGGGCCCTGCTGCTGTGAAACTGACTCACAGCCCCAGGGATTCACTGTCCCCCTCTCCGGTGGGTTTCCCCACACTGGTATCCACCTGAGAGATTTCCTGGGCAGCCACAAGCCTCACCTCGTAGCTCCTGGGTAGGGGGGTGATTATAGCTCTGTTGGGAGCAGATAGGACGATTCCCGACATTGGGATTGAAGACAGTGCGCCGCTTGTTTCCCCTTGCGGTCTGCGGTTTTCACACCTCATTAGTGAGGTGTGAACATTCTAACCACACGTTCTAAATGGGGTATCGGGGTGGTCTGACGCACGGGGCTCCGAGTGTCGGAGCGCCCCTGTGTGGTTAAAAAGTAATTTGCATGAGGAAAATTAAAAAGGGGAAAAACACATTCCACGAGGGCACATCCAATAGAAAAGGGCAGTTCACAGTTAGGCAGCGGCCAGCATGTATACACAGAGCACACAGCCACACACAACAACAATACCTGGAGCATTAAAGTATCAAACTCCTGCCTAGCGTGCCACCAGCAACTACATGCCACAATCAATATTAACCACAAAGAGCAATCTTACTGCAATACAACTTGTCATATCTGCCCTCCATCCCCGGAAGGCACATAGCCTGTTTATATTTAGACTCATTGGTGGGCAGGAGTACTGGTTGTAAGACCGTTGTATCTTCTATGTGGCTGGCGAAAGTGACATCGTGGATCAAGCCGCTCGTCACATCCGCCAGCTCAAAGTGGACGCAACTCCTCCCCACATCTAGGATAACCCCTTCCCAAGCTGGGAATCGGTTTTGGGCAGCGCTGGAGGGTGGACATGATGACGCCACAATATATTGTGCATCAGCCCAAACCCTTCCAGCGCCAACCCCCCCATGTCCGCCATATTGGAAGTGGGCACCAATGATACTATTTATAAACAGGCTATGTCCGTGCACCTTCTGGGGTGGAGGGCAGATATGACAAACCGGAAGTGAGGCATTAAGATGAACACCACCAATGATATAACACCAATTTAAGGCGGCAAATACAATTACCCAATAGGGGTTCCTTACACACCGGTGCAGTCTACTACTCAAACGGATGCCATACAATTCTTGAACTTGGGATTGGCTAATTGGACATCACGTGATCTTAAAGGGGAGGATTTCAAAGTCTAACAGGACATTTAAAAGACAAATTGCCGATCTCGCGAGAGTGAACTCTAGCCCTCAGGCTAGAGTTCACTCACCACTGGACCACCAGGGATGATGTCACCGTGCCGGTCCCCCTCCTCCCAGCTACCACGTGCCTGTCCCCCCTCCCAGGCTAAAGGTAAGAGGGAGGGGGGGGGATTTAATGCCTACTTAGTTTTTTGTTTTTTTTTCTTTATTTATCCACCATAGTTTTTTATTTGTTTGTTTACCCCCCCCACACACACACACACACATTTATACACAGCACTCTCACACATCACACACATCACACTCTGCACTCTCACACACCTCACACTCTGCACTCTCACACACACATCACACTCTGCACTCTCACACACACATCACACTCTGCACTCTCCCACTCAGCACTCTCCCACTCAACACTCTCACACACATCATACACAGCACTCTCACACACATCATACACAGCACTCTCACACTCTGAACTCTCACACACATCATACACAGCACTCTCCCACTCAGCACTCAGCACACTCAGCACTCTCACACACATCATACACAGCACTCTCACACACATCATACACAGCACTCTCACACTCTGAACTCTCACACACATCATACACAGCACTCTCACACACATCATACACAGCACTCTCACACACATCATACACACACATCACACTCTGCACTCACACACATCACACTCTGCACTCACACACATCACACATCACACTCTGCACTCACACACATAACACACACAGCACTCTCACACACAACAAACACAGCACTCACACACAACAAACACAGCACTCTCACACATACACAGCACTATCACACACAGCACTCTCACACATCACTCTCAAAGACATAACACTCAGCACTCACAACACTCTCACACCCACACACACAGCACCCTCACACAAATCAATCACATACAGCACCCACACATACAGCACCCTCACACACACAACACCCTCACACAGCACCCACACCTCACACACAGGATCCATCACACACACATACTGCACCCCTCACATACACACACAACCCCCGATACACTGCATCACACACATACACAATACTTCCAAACATATTTATATAATATATATACACATATAAATATACACACAGCACCCCTCACACACACACACACACAGCACCCCTAAACACATTTCATTCCAGACACACACTAGCTCCTCTACCCAACTCTGGATCATCTACACACATACACACACTAGATCCCTATATACACTCTGAATCCATTATATACGCACGCTCACTAGATCTCCTATACATATTCTGGGTCCTTCAAACACACACACACTCTGGATCCCTATACGCACACTAGATTCCTTGTAAGCAAACACATACTACATTCCCTGAACACACACTCTCTACAAACACTACATCACCTACACACACACACACACTATAGCCTGTATACACACACTTGCTACATCCCCTAAACACACATTCTCTAAAGCCCCTAGCCACATATGCATTACATTACACCACAAACACAACACGCCTAAAACCGACCTTATTACACAATACCACACCACGACCAGCTCACTCTGCACACACGCAATACCCCAAGCAGGCTCCAAACACATGCACAATACTCTTTCCTGGCCCTTTTGTCTCCTGGTATCCATTTATAGACACCAGAGACAAGTTGCAAGGAAACACAGTGCGAGCATGTTATTAAATTTGCTTGCACTGTGCAGAACAAATACAGGGCTTTTTTCTCATGCTAGAGCTCTTCAGCAGAGCTCTGCGCATGGTCTGCCCTGGAAGAGCATTGAACCAACATGCTCACTTTGAGAGGGGGCGTGTTTGTCATGAGTGATGACAAAACACACCCTCGCTGCCCCGCCCCCTTCTTAGTGGGCCGCTGTGATAAAAAAATGCCCGGGCCGAATTTTTTTCCCAGTCCGGCCCTGGTTGTACTTATCAATAGGTGTACTATCTGCATTTTGTACAGTACCATTTGGTCGCTTTACTTTTAACCCCTGCACAATCTTTATTCGTATAGCGCTCCACGCATTGGTATACATTGTATACCATACATTTCCTGTATATGTAAGATTTATTGTGGAAATAGGGTATTCCATTTTGTGTGTAGAGCTGCTTTTCTTAGGCACTATATTGCATCACTCACTACCTCCTAGTAGAGGTAGATTTAGTTTTTTTATTGTAATGTACTCATACCTACATATACTGATACACCTCAATACATATACATTCAGTATACACTGATCAACCATAACATATAAACCACTGACAGGTGAAGAGAATAACATTGATTATATCATTCCAATGGCGCCTGTCAATGGGTGGGATATATCAAGCAGCAAGTGAACAGTCAGCTTTTGAATGTCACGTGTTGGAAGCAGGAAAAACTTTCAAGCAAAAAGATCTGAGTGATACTGACAAAGGCCAAATAGTGATGGCTAGACAACTGGGTCAGAGCATCTCCAAAACCACAAGCCTTGTGGGGTGTTCCCGGCTTGCAATTGTAAGTACCTACCAAAAGTGCTGATAGGAAGGACAACCGGCATCAGGGTCATGGGCGCCCAGGCTCATTGATGGGGAGGAAAGGCCAGCGCGTCTGGTCTGATCACACAGAAGAGCGACTGTAGTTCAAATTGCTGAAAAACATATATAGATTTTTTTTTGCCAAAAGCACCTTCAAAGAGGACGTGAGCATCAGACCCTGACCATGGAGCAATGGAAGAAGGTTGCCTGGTTTGATGAATAAAATTTTCTTTTAGATCAGGTGGATGGCTGGATGCATGTGTGTTGTTTACCTGGGTTGAGATGGCAGCAGGATACACTATGGCAAGAAGCCAGGCCAGCAGAGGCTAATTGGACATCACGTGATCTTAAAGGGCAATGTTCTGCTGGGAAACCTTGGGTCCTGGCAGTCATGTGGATGTTACTTTGAAATGTACCACCTACCTAGAGATTGTTGTAGACCACGTACACCCCTTCATGGCAATGGTGTTCCCTGACAGCAGTGGCCTCTCTCAGCAGGATAATGCACCCTATCACACTGCAATATTGTTCAGGAATAGTTTGAGAAACATAACAAAAAGTTAATGGTGTTTCCTTGGCCTCCAAATCCCCCAGATCTCAAATCTGATCCATGAAAGCCACACCTCGCAACTTTCAGTAGTTAAAGGATCAGCTGCTAAGGTTTTGGTGCCAGATACCACAGGACCTGATCATAGGTCTTGTGGAGTCCATGCTGTGGTGGAACTACTGCCTGTTCATGAAACTCCCTTCTGTTTTACATGTGTTTCCCCTGTATGTTCATTTATTATGCCCGCTCTCCTTTCAGGAGTGCTTCCATGAAGGGAATTCATTCACCTCCCGAACGGTGACCAACCTCATTTAGAATGTTAGGTTAGAATATACACACCTCGCAACATAAGTGTCAGAACCGCAAACCGCAAGGAAGCAATTAATGAGTGCTTCCCTGGGTGGCAGCCATTCGTACAGACGAACGCCACCAGGGGGAGCATTTGTGTATTGTTTCCTGACTTGTTTGTCTCCTGAACGAGGACTTCCCCAATGCCCCATTAGAATGTTCACACCAATTAATCAGAACGTTCGCACTCGCAACATAGGTGTGAAACCGCAAGGGAAGTAATTAATGGGTGCTCCTCTGGGTTGCCGCCATTCGTATAGACGAGTGCCAGCCAAGGGGAGCATTCAAACCGAAAGGAGATGCTTCCCTTGTCTGGGTTTCACATAAGGATCTCACCAACAGAGTGTGACAAAACCCCAGTTTTATGAATGTCAAGACTTTTGAATTCGTCTGCTGTTCGTGTAGTTATCACTCTTTCGTTCTTTTCTTAAAAAAAACGAACAAACTACCGAACAGCCAGACCACCCGCAATGGGAGTGTGCAGCTCATTAATCGTCCAGAAGCTGTGGTTAACCACAGCTATTTGATGAACGGCTGGGTGGTTGCCGTTCGTTTGAACGAACACGTGGCGCCGGCCATTTTAAACTGATGAAACGCCCAGCGGTGTTTGGTCGTCCACCGCGTGGAACTATTTCCGGCCATAATTTCACACGAACACTGCTGGGACTTTCTAACTTCCACCTCGTTCATTTCCATTTACACGAACGCCGTGCCGTTCGGTACATTCAACACACGAATGAGACCGACCCCAGGTAGCTCAATCCATGGAGCTAATTTTGGACATATTTCTAGCGAACAGTCGGTGAATCGAATCTTTAGCTCCATAGCGATTTGACTGTGTTCGTGGGATCTGAGCGCTGTTGGGTCTCTTTGTACTTTAAATGGTTCCTGACTGGCTGAAGGAAGGGAATTAGTGGAGGTAACCGGTCGGTTTATTCGGGGGTCTGCTACACATGCCATGTTGCATTAGAGCAGTTTTGGCAGCACAAGGGGTTTCTACATGGTATTAGTTTTAGTGTTGTGGCTGAACAAGTAAGCATGTTTAAGTATATCACCAAAAACAACAAAGAAAAATTTCAGATTTATCAGGTGTCTATCCCTTTAAACCCTCAATTTTCATGAGTGT